ACACATTTCTAGATCGACTCAGCTACTCGAGATATGACGATCGGTATAGTAAAAAGGTGGGCCTAGGGCCAATATTTCGAGGCGTTACAAACTTTAGGGGTTGCACAAAGCTATAATACCCAGACAACATACTTGTGTAGGATATAAAAATCCACATCTTGATTGTTGTAGAAAAAAATATATTTTTTTTAATCCATGCCTTGATAGTTGATGAAAAAAATTTATAATGGTTGAAACAAATATTGTTAAGAAATTAACCTCTTAAAAATTAAAATAAAAATGCCTTGATAGTCCTTGAAAAAAATATTATTTTTTTAAACATAAATTCCATCCCAAAATGGTGTCATATCAGGGGCTATGGATATTCCACAACTATTATTAATACTATACCATGATCTGCATCGTTTCAGACAGGCAATGATCATTTTGTGGCACCACAACCACGCATCAACAGGCATAGCCATCATCAACAGTCAACTGCAGCAACCAACTGATCTCCCTCCTGCACTCTCTCCTCGACAGTTCCTCTCTTGAGATAATAAGAGGAACCACAAATGAAAAAAAAAAACTGAAAAATGCATTCTTTTGTTTTTATTATTATTGTTGTAGTTGTTGTATTTGAAATATCGTCACGTTTTAACCATTTTATTTGGTTGCAGAACAAAAAATAGAAAAACTCCAGAAGATACGCAGGGCCATGTTATCGCCTTGGCATTTTATTGGACATGATACATACGTCTGCTCTCTCACACTCTCCCGACTTCCTTCCCGGACCACAGTAGAGGTCTAATGGTGTAACAAACAGATTATCCTGAGAATTCTCACTCACACAAACGTACACACACACACAATTCCTCCATTTCCTTTTGTTTTCCTTGGAATAGATGTTCCAAGCCGAGTTACTTGGCTTGGCCTAGTCTTGCGATTCTAGAAAAGATGTTGGAAACAAAGAAAATCAATTGGGTGGATTAGTCGGACAGTGGAATTTAAATAATTACCCTGACCATTTCAAGCAAATCACGTTCACTATTCTGTAGTGGAACAGAAAAAAAACAACAAAATTCTATTGTTGTTGTTTTTGTTTCGTTTGTTAGTCCATCACTGGCTTCTCTAGGTAAGCAACAACAATTGATTATTTTTTTATGCGGAATTAGTTAATTTTCTTGGTTACCTTCTTTTTGTTATTTTTCCCCTTCAGGTTAATAACAGGTTTAGTTGAGCATTTTCAGGTCGATTTATTGCAATTATTTTCATTGGAAATTAAACCAGAAAAAATCGGTTAATTGATTTTTTTATAAACGGAACATAAAGAAGGTCATCTAAACGACATTATGAAATATAAGACCTTCTAAGGGCCATCTGTAGATATAACCTTAAATGGCACCACTGAACCTTCAAAAGACGATAGCCAATTTGATCGGAATATTAGATGATAAATAAATGGACCTAAGACAAAGACGATAACCAATTTGATCGGAATATTAGACGATAAATAAATGGGCCTGCAATCTGAGGCCAAATATTGGACTATATTGAAAGTTTTTTAACCTGCAGATCTTTAACGCACTGAGAACCCAAAAATATTTAAACCTTTCAGACCCTGAAATTCATTCGAAGAATTGATGACCTGATGATAACCTTAATTTGAACGAAGCCGTTATTTTGCGACCAGAGTCAAAACTTATGAAAATGTTCAGCGAAACGTAATTTTGCCCTCTAAAATACTGAAATGCCAAATTACAGACTATATCTAAGCATGGACCTATATTAGCAATTTTCAGCTTGGACGTATTTTATCCTCCGCTTTACGTAAATATCAATTCACAGGTACATCAATTGAAAACAATGCATCCATGATCCCCAAAATATCTAAAAAGAGTGATCAGAATCAGGATACCAAAAACGTGACCAGTCCTGTATATCGACCTATGTCAGAACAGAAGACTTCCAGAAGTTGTTAAGGACCTTCAGAGGTTTCATAAGCAGCAATGATCGATGGTCGTCTAAAATCTTCATAGTTCAACAGAATTTCTCAGATCAATATATTGCTTCATAGGTAAATTAATAACATTCAGAAGTCTTTAAAGGACTTCGAATATCAACAGAAATCCTTGTGATACTTCAGTACCTTCAATGATTGTCTAAGGTCAATAAAAATCCATCAGAAACGCTCGTAAACAATAAAAGTCCTTCATTGGCATTGTCGGAGGTTTTCTATGGTTAATGAAGTCCTTCGGAGTCATTTGTAGATCAAAAGAGGACCTTCGGAGGTTTTTTTAAGAACAAAAGAAACGTTCATAGGTATTTTTGTTTGTTAGAGATTCTTTAGAGGGTCTTCCAAGGATAATAGAAATTAAATATATTTTATGACCAAAAAACCCCCTCCTCAATAGAAATACATCTATGGCTAAATCCGAAATTATCTCAGATCAATAGAAGTTCTTCAGAAGTATTTTTTTAGTTGATAAAATAATTTCAAATGTCTTACTAGATCAATAGAAATCTTTCCGAAAATCACCAAAATGTTTAGAAGTCCTTCCCCTGGGGCCTGTAGAGAAGAACGAGATCGAAAAAAAACCAAGGTGATTAGATGGACTTCAGAGTCCAATGGAAGACTTTTATGTTAGTTTGAGGTTCTTCGGAGGTTTTCTAAGATGGAGAAAAGTCATGCACAGGTCTTCCAAGGAGATTAGATGGACTTCAGAGGTCAATGGACATTTTTGTGACGTCTATGCTAAATAGAAATTTATCAGAAGTTGGAGGATCTATTTCCAAAGATTTTCCAACGTAGATAGAGTCTATGAAAAATTTAAGTTTTTTTGGGTAAATAGAGATTAGATGGACTTCAGATGTCAATAGAAAAATTTTATGTGACTTCTATGCTAAATAAAAGTCTATCAGAAGTTGTAGGATCTATTTCCAAAGATTTTCCAAGATTAAATGAGTCTATGAAAAATTGAAATGATTTAGGTCACGTTTTGGGTCAATAGAAGTCCTTAAAAGTTCTTCTTATGTCTATAGAAATCCTTTACTGCCGGTCAGATTTTTTTAAGCATTTAAGTTCTGCTGAAGATTTTTAAGTCAATAAAATTCCTTCGGAGGTCTTTTAAAGATATATACATCATCCAAGGTATTCCAAGGTAATTAAAAGTCTCCCTAATGGGGTTTTGTGTTACCGATCTTCTATGAATAACGCAGGCCGCAATGGAAATTGTTCTTTGGCTGAGAGTGCTCCTTTAGAAACTGTTGGTGTTAATACAAATCATTCGGAGTACTCTAAGAGCGATGTAAATCTATTATAAGTCTTCAAATATCAATAAGATACTTCTTCGAGATTTTAAGAGCCTTCCTCCAAGATTCTAATGGCCTTTTTAGGTCTACTGAATAATTTCTATTAACCATTAACAAGTTCTTAAGGACCTCTCTCAGTCATAGAATACATTGCGGTCTTCGTTATTCATAAAAAATTTTTGAAATAAAACCCCATTGTAATTACCTTGGAAGACCTTGGATGACGTATATATCTTTAAAAGACCTCCGAAGGAGTTTTATTGACTTAAAAATCTTCAGCAGGACTTAGAATGCTTTAGAAAAACTCTGACGGACAGTAACGTATGTCTATTAACATTTGAAGATCTCTTCAGGACTTCTATTTACGCAAAAAGTGATCTAAAGAACTTCAAATTTGCATAGACTCTTTTTACCTTGAAAAATCTTTGGAAGGGCTTCCACCAACCAAAGAAAAGTCTCGTAGTCTCTTATAAACCAAAGAGACCTCTGGCGGTCTTCCATTGCTCTTCGAATCCGGTAAAGTATATTCATTTACCTAGGAAGACCACTTAAGAACTTCTATTGACATTCAAAGGTGGCTTTAAAAATCTCTAGAAGTCTTCTTCTAGTATTCAATGCTCCAAAAGGTATTCAAAGTCGGTAGAAGTTCTTTAGAGGTCTTCCAAGGTGAATGGACGTCCTTCTAAAGGTTATTGAAGACTTTCAAATGTTTCTTTTATTTATAGAAGACTTCGATACTTTTTTGATGGTTGGAGGTATTCGGTAAAGTATATCCATTTACCTTAGAAAACCACTGAAGAACTTCTATTGACATTCAAAGGTGGCTTTAAAATTTTCTAGAAGTCTTCTTCTAGTCTTCAATGCTCCAAAAGGTATTCAAGGTGGATAGAAGTTCTTTAGAGGTCTTCCAAGGTTAATGGATGTCCATGTAAAGGTTATTGAAGACTTTCAAATGTTTCTTTGATTTATAGAAGACTTCGATGCTTTTTTTGGTTGGTTGGATGTCTTCGAGAATCTTTGACAATGCAATCTTCCATCACTTCCAAAAATAATACCGATGCCTTCCCCTTCCTCCTCCATAACCTGCACTGCCACTGCATTATCTCAATCTACTAAGTCTATTGAACAAGAAAATAATCAGCAGACATCAAAAGACCCACTGATGTTTCATTATTTGTGAAATTTATTTCTTACAGACTCAGCTGTGAAGGAGTAAGGGAAATATTTGAATTCACCGCTACCCCTCTCTCAGCCACTTCTTTCATTTATGGTCACATCGAAATAATTAAAAATATACAAAAAAGGGATTCTTCAACACTTTACAGCCTTTGATTTACAGAAAATTGCCAACGGTACTGGGGAATGCACAAATTGCATCCTTGTGATGCAGTGCTAGCAAAAACGGGACTACTTGGGAATGGGAATTGTTGTTGACAATACTTTGTAAGAAGTTCTTTGTTTTTTGGAATGAGTTTTACTTCCACGAATGAAAACAAAAAATATTCACTTTATGGTATATAATAACATCCGCTCGAAGCATTCTGTGTATGTGAGTAAATGTGGGGGTGTGTGTGTGGGTATGTGACATCACTACCCATTACAATGATGTCAACTTACCCTTAACCTAAATCAATATACCCTGCTTCAAGGCTTATATAATTTAATTGTCGTACTTTTTCGCAATGCTTCTTTACAACAAAAACAACAACATGCTGATGAATAGCAGCACAACAATGTTGCTACAAGAGGTCGTGGAAGAAGAACAACAGCGAACCGGCACTGTGGCATGGCATTGTGGCATGAGTAATGGCAAACGACAAAACCAGCCACCAAAGCTTCGTTGTAAACAATTCAATGCCACCGCAGGCTTTCTGGCGGGCTGACTGACTGGATCTCTGTGAAAATGAGTTGCAAGGATGTTTTTGTTTTGTTCTGTATTCTACTTATTCTTCTTCTTCAATATATCCTTCACCTGAAAATGAGTGGAGAGCATTTACATTTTACTTCTTTGGTTTGTAACGGCTGATTTGTAAAGGTGGAACGGGGTGTATCTCAAGCATTGATGGTTGGCTTATTACCGATTATGCCAGGCATGCATTACAAAGGAAGCCGATTAAGCAAATGTCAGATACATTCATTGGTATTGCCTTAGGAGAAAAATACATTTTGTGGAGTAGAAAAGCCAAAAAAATTAGACCTATCAGGTGTTCTAAGGTTCTTCAAAGACACCCTGTGAATAAAAGAATATCTTCAGCTGTATTCTATGGCCAAGATAATTCTTTCGGAGACTCTTAAGGGTAATATAAGATTATCGAAGGATTTGATAATCAATGAGAACCTTACGAGACTTTCTTTCTTGTGGAGGCTTCTAGGGCCATCTGGGCTCCTAGAAAATCGAAAAAGTCCTGCAGAAGTCTTCTAATGACATTAGGTGGAATTCAGTGGCCAATAAAAGACTTTTATGTAAAATATATGGTTCTTGTGGGGCCTTCTACGATAAAAAGAAGTCAGAGGTCAAAGCAGACATTTATGTGACTTCTATAGTGAATAAAAGTCCATTAGAAGTCGAAGGAACCATTTCCAAAAGGTTTTCTAGGGTAAAAAGAGGTAATGCAAAATATAAGTTCTTCTTTGTTTGGTAGAGCTTTTTCAGAGGGTCTTCCACGGGTAATGGAAAATAAATATATTTTATGAGTTCTTCAGATGTGACTTCTAAGATCAGGAAAATCCTCCTGAGATCTTCTCAGATGATTAAAGGGACTTCAGAGGTCTTTAAAATTTTTTATGTTTCTAAAGTTCTTCTGAGGCCTTCTATGATGGAGAAGAGTCCTGGAGAGGTATTCCAAGGTGATTTGATGGATTTCAGAGACCAAAATAAGACTTTTATTTTTGTTTGAAAGTCCTGCTGAGGTCTTCTAATATGATTAAAGGGACTACAGAGGTCTTTAGAAAATTTTTATGTTTCTATAGTTCTTTTGAAGCCTTCAATGATGAAGAATTGTCCTGCAGAGGTATTCCAAGGTGATTTGATGGATTTCAGAGACCAAAATAAGACTTTTATTTTTGTTTGAAGTTCTTTGGAGCCCTTCTAATATCAGGAAAGTCCTGCTGGGGTCTAATAAGATGGTTAAAGGGACTTCAGAGGTCTTTAGGAAACTTGAATGTTTCTACAGTTCTTCTGAGACCTTCTATGATGGTGAAAAGTCCTGGAAAGGTCTTCCTAGGTGATTAGATGGACTTCAGAGGTCAATAGAAGTTATTTATGTGACTTCTATGGTTAATAAAAGTCTAATAGAAGTCGGAGGATCTATTTCAGGTGCCAATAGAAGACTTTTATGTAAATAATATGATTCTTGTGAGACCTTCAACGATAAAGAAAAGTTCTGTTGAACTATCCAAAGGTGATTAAATGGACATTAGAGGTCATGAAAAGCCATATATGCAACTTATATACTAAATCAAAATCCATCAGAAGTCGAATGATCTATTTCCAAAAGGTTTTCTAGGGTAAAAAGAGGCAATGAAAAATATAAGTTTTTTAGATCTTTTTCTGAGTCATTCAGAGGTCTTCTTAGGTGGTCTATGAGCTTCTGAGGCCTTCTTAGTCAATAAGAGGTAGAGCTATATATATAATTAATGTCATTGAGGACTTCACTTCTTAGTGGTCCTCTATGCACAGAACTATATCTTCAGTTGTCTTCTATGATCAACAGAATTAGCTTAGAGTCTATTAAGGATCATATAAAATTGTCCTTGTTCTAATGATTAATGAGAGCCTTTAGATGCTTTCCTTCCTTTTGGGGGCTTCTCAGTTCATCAAAGCTCAAAAGATCTTGAGAGATTTTCCAATGTTTTTTCTTCGGAGATCTCTTATTCAAATATCAGTTGAAGTCTCCAGAACTATTTTCTAGGCAATCATATGACTTCTGAAATTTGCATCTACCATTTCTCTAGATGTAAATAGAACCCAGAGGTATATTTTCCTCTCGAGAGATATTCTCAGATAAAAAAGGCTTTCCAAGGTTTTCTATGGTAAAAATAATTTTTTTTCGGAGGATTCTGTACACGTTGAGAGATTAGAAGTTATCTTCAGGTATTATACAGCTAGTATAATTTTTTCAAGGGTCTTGTATGGGCTGTCCGCAAAGGGAAATCATCCGTGGTACCTATGCTTCGTAAAAAAACCTTTTTAGGTTTCAAAGTCCTTAGAAAATGTTTATATAGTAGTTAGAAGTTCAAAAGATCAATATAAGAGCGATAGAGGTCAATACAAAAATTCAATTAGTTCCAACAAATAGAAGCCCTGCAGAGTTCACCAGAAACCCTCCCGAGTTCTCCAGAAGAGTTTTTGTGGTCCAAAGGAGGACTTCCGAGATATTCTATGCTTAATACAGGGCCAATAGTAAACTCTGGAAGGCGCTACGAACTTTGTAGAAGTTTTCGGGTTTTCTTACAGAAGTCCTTCATATGGATCATAAATCGATCTTATTTGTTCTCAGTCAAATAAAGCTCTCCGAGGTCGTCAGATTTAAGTATAAATGTGTTATATGCCTGCTACGATTGAAATAAGAGTTCCAGAGGTCTTCTAGATCTCATTATCTAATTATGAGTTTTATTGTTAATATGCGTAATTTCTACTTACTCTAAGATTTTCATTTAAAGATCAATAGAAATCCACGTGATGCCAATCAAATTTTAGGAAAAAGGTCCTCAGCATAATGATCTCTTGGAACCAAGAACATTATTTTCTGTGGAAAGTTCTCTTCGGGTCTCTTATAAGAAGGGTATGCACCATTCGATTTAACCCTGATTCCTGCAATTATTTCGTCCACACTTTAACGTGGATAATCCAAACGGCAAAAATATATTTTTTTAGTCTCAGATGTTGTTGTTGTTTTTTTATTGTTGTTTTACTTGTATTTGTTGTTATTATAATTTTTGTAGTTTAACTTTTGTTTTATATCCTTCATTGTTCTGCATTTCACCGGGTAATGATTTTTTTCTTTTACTTCCATTCATTTATATTTTTTGTATTTTTGTAATAATTTCAGGACACAACCGGTCCCGTCCTCAGCATCCCCCGCCCCACCGTCATCATCATCGCCATCGTTATATTAATACTTCATCGTCCCTTAATAATTCAACGCTTGAAGTAACCTCAAGTGGTGGTGGTGGCCATTGTGGAGAGAATACCTCGGAAGCAGCCACAACGTCACAGTCAGTGGCGACGGCAGTGGTTGCAAGGCAAACGGCAACGACGAGTCGTCTGCCACGTTTTGTCACATTGAATTGCATCAATGGCGGCAGTAATGCGAACGATGTCGTCAACGAAAATGATAACGACCCCGAAGAATTGTTTGTAAATCGACGACGACAACAACAACAGCATCAACGAGGACGCACTCCACCGCCAAATTATCAGTCATTGTCTGTAACGCCACCTCCATCGTATTCACCAGGTCGTTGGGAGGAGGAGGAGGTGGAACATGAGCAAATAAATGCTCAAAATCTTCATGGAAATCACATTGAAAATGCAAACCAGCAAGAGCTGCAGCAACCTCAACAACAGCAACGGAGGCAAAAACATCGACATCATCATCGGCAACCATTTCCGACATTGCCACCTCCACCGCCACTGTCAACACTAGAATATCCAGCATTGCCTTTAAGGCCTTATCAAGTACCGGAAGTTCTTGGTCCTGGCATTGATGACAACGCTGAGGAGGATTATGTTTTCTTAAATAGACATAATATCACTCCTGGAACAGCAACAACAACAACGACAGGGAATCGTCAAAGCAGAATTGGAAGGAATAAACACTCATTCGAAGCGGTATATGGCCAAGTTGGACAAGAGCCACCACTGGCCAATGTCAGCTACCCTTCAAGAAATGTGGCAACAGTGTCAGTATCACAACAGCAAGAACAACAACAGCAACAAAGACGTAGAAATCAACGTCGCCGAAAATTGCATTTATTACAACAACAACATCAGCAGCAGTCGCAACAACAACCATCCCAGCATCATCTCTCAAATTCTCCACTTATTCCTAATCACAGTAACAACAACGATACCACAGATTCCGATAGCACGACGACTATTAGTGACATCGACTCGAATTTTATCGAGGCTCAACCGAACATCGGTTCTAACAGAGATCAGCGAAGACGTCGTCGACAACGTTTATTAAAATTAAGAGGTAAGTAGAGATATTTGCTTTACTATACCCTCATTTGATAGGTAAGGTCTAGGCCCTCTTTAATTTTTTCTATAGAAAAATGTTCTGAAGAAGTTTTTTCCTATATAAAAAATCGTCTCAAGGACCTGATGATTTTTTCTATAGTAACAAGTCTCCTCAGGGTGCTATGTTTTTCTACACAATGACCAAAGACATTTCTTTCTATAGAAAAAACCCCTACGCAGGGACGTGTGGGTCCAGGTGATTTTTCTCTATTGCAAAAATTCTCATCAAGCTATTGGGGAATTTTTTTATAGGTAAAATATTCATTAGATACCGGAGAAATGTTTCTCAAGATCACGAGGAATTTGTTCCGAAGAGAAAAGTATTCAAAGAATCAAGAATATTGTCTTGGTACAGAAAAAATTCTACACCGGATCTCCAAAAATTAGGCCCTATTTAACTTTTCTATAGAAAAAAGTTCTGAAGAAGCATATTCTTATATAAAAAAATCTTCTCAAGGACCTGATCATTTTTTTCTATAGAATAAAAGGTACTATGTTTTTCTATAGAAAAAATATACTCAGGAACCAGAGACATTTTTTCTATAGAAAACAACCTATACAGGGACGTGAGGTGCCAGGTGATTTTTCTCTATTGCAAAAATTCTGATCAGGCTATTGGAGAATTTTTTCCATAAAAAATCTCCTCAGGGTATTGAGGTTTTTTTTTTGTAGAAAAAAGTATATCAATGAACTTAGGAAGTTTTTACTTTAGGAAAAAGAATCATTAGATACCGGAGAAATGTTTCTCAAGATCATGAGGAATTTGTTCCGAAGAGAAAAGTATTCAAAGAATCCAGAATATTTACTTAGTACAAAAAAAAATTGTACACCGGATCTCCAAAAATTATTTTCTTTAGAAAAAGTCTCCTCAGGAAAAGTCTGAAGACTATTTTCTACAGAAAAAGTTCTCCTCAGGAAACTGATGATTTTTTTCTAAAGGAAAAAGTAACATCAGGGAACTGATGTTTTTTTCCCAAAGAAAAAAATCCCCTGAAGGTACTGGGGGTTTTTTTATAGAAACAATTCTCTTCAGGTTGCTGAGGAATTTTTTTCTATAGAAAAAAGTCTCCTCAGGGTACAGAGGATTTTTTTCTATAGAAAAAAGTCTCCTCCGGGTACTAAGGATTTTTTTCTATAGAAAAAAGTCTCCTCCGGGTACTAAGGATTTTTTTCTATAGAAAAAAGTCTCCTCAGGGTACTGAGGAATTTTTTTCTATAGAAAAAAGTCTCCTCAGGGTACTGAGGAATTTTTTTTTCTATAGAAAAAAGTCTCCTCAGGGTACTGAGGAATTTTTTTCTATAGAAAAAAGTCTCCTCAGGGTACTGAGGAATTTTTTTTCTATAGAAAAAAGTCTCCTCAGGGTACTGAGGAATTTTTTTCTATAGAAAAAAGTCTCCTCAGGGTACTGAGGAATTTTTTTCTATAGAAAAAAGTCTCCTCAGGGTACTGAGGAATTTTTTTCTATAGAAAAAAGTCTCCTCAGGGTACTGAGGAATTTTTTTCTATAGAAAAAAGTCTCCTCAGGGTACTGAGGAATTTTTTTCTATAGAAAAAAGTCTCTAAGGGTACTGAGGAATTTTTTTCAGGGTACTGAGGAATTTTTTTCTATAGAAAAAAGTTTCCTCAGGGTACTGAGGATTTTTTTTCTATAGAAAAAAGTCTCCTCAGTTTACTGAGGAATCAGTCTGTTCAAAAATCTCCTCAGGGTACTGAGGAATTTTTTTCTATAGAAAAAAGTCTCCTCAGGTTATTGAGGATTTTTTTCTCTCAATAAAAACAACTGTCCTTAGGGACCTGGAGAATTGTTTTCAACAAATTTAAATATTTTTTTAAACTAATTGTTTTTAAAATGCTTTATTTCTAAAATTATTACACAAACTGCCATTAAAGGGCCGGCCTTCGGATGCTTGCATTTTATCGATAACACAATCGTTGATTACGGTCTTTACATTTTTGGCCAGGACAAAATCAAAATGATTATATTTGCCCATGTTGAGGCGATGCAGATTTAGCTGGTTGCCCATAATTTTGTACAGGTGGCGTATATCCTCAATGGTGGCCAAATAATCATTGTCACTGAAATATAATTCCATGGGCCTTCTCAGTTTGATTTTTTTCAAGTCATAGGCTGGTGGTTCCGCCTGGCCATATTTTTGCATATTTTCCCTCGAACCAAAATCAAAGGCACGGAATTTACAAGAGTTGACCAGCTGCAGGAAATGTAAGGTTAAACGGGGTGAGGTACCCGCTGGATAGGTGGAGAAAAATTCCGGCAAGAGGGTCTACAAAGGAGATGGATTAATAATTGTTTTGATTAAATAAAAATTATTTCAAAAACTTACCCTATTGACATACGGCGAATCTCGTCCCACCATATTTTGCAAATAATTAGCACAGGTCCCCTCACTTTGCCGACAAATGTTGGGCAGCACCGAACGCATTATATCACCAAAACCATTACCCTGTACGGAGGCAAAAATTGTTGACAAAATTCCTGGTCTACCAAATATCGGAGCCAGTAGCGTGGGCAATTGTGAACGAATGTGACACAAAAATACCCCTGGACCCAACATTTGAGCAGTTTGGATTTTTTCACTATATTTTGATTTTGTGGCCATCATTATCATAAAGATGCGTGCACCTTGAGAAAATCCAATATAATGGAGTTTCTTTTGATTGGTCCTTTCCAAAATATAGTCGATTTTTGCCGGTACATCATAACGGCCAATTTCATCAAATGAGAAATTCATAAATTCTCGGGAGTTGGGTGAGAGTGTTTTGTGTCGCCGTGAATACAGATTTCCGCGTATATTGGCAATCCAAACATCATAGCCAGCATTGGCCAGGAGGAAGGGTAGACCATCATTGGGACCATTCAATACCCACATATCGGAAGAGCATTCGGTACCATGCATCAACAAAACGGCAGGTCTGGGAGAGATTTCATTTTCCTCGTTCACCATTTGCGGGGAATGGGGTATGCGGAACATGGTCAACAAATAGCCATCTTTGGTGGTGACCGTGTGATTTTCACAGGGGTAGCCATGTTCGGTGATGCGATCACACTACAAAAACAAACAAAAAATAAAAATTGGGTTTCAACTACCAAATTGAAATCTCGTTACTTACCGTGGTCTTGGCAATCCTTGGCGGTATCAGTTGTAGAATTACCACACAGAGTATTACTAAAATAATTGCCGTTTTCATTTTATGAATTTGTATTTAAAGACAATTAAAATTATGTCATTTGAAATCTTCAAAAATGTTTGAATGAACCGCTGATCACAAAATCCAAAAATTCAATTCCCCGCTCTTTGCCAGTTGTCTGCGTTTTGTTTTGGTAAAAACATGCTGAGACCATACAAAGCTAATGTTGAACATTGTTCGCTGCTCAGAGTTTGGACCAACCGGTTTAGTTATTGTTTTTGTTGTTGCTTTTGTTTACTAACAACAACGACGACGCTCATCAAAACTACTTCCGACTTATAAATTAACACAGAAAGAAGACTGGCCTGGCCTAGGCGAACTATACCAGCGTGCAATGCATGGAAAACCACCAACCAACCAGCCTCTTGTATTTCTGCTTAGTACATAGATCTGTTTATGACGGCATATGTGAATCAGTTTCACTAGTCAACAAAATATTGAAAAATAAAAAAAATACAATTATGCTGAGTCTCAAGTTCATTGTACGTTAAATAAAAACAATTTTTTTTTGTGAGCTAATTTGGTTTTTGGGTCATGCTGACAAAATATTGAATTTCAATTTCGTAATTATCCCCTACACAACTATGTTGTCAGGGTATTAAATCTTTGTGTGGCCCCAAGAATGTGTAACGCAGCGAAATATTGGCCCTAGACCCATGTTTTAGTATACCGATCATCATATCTCAACTTGCTGAGACGATCTAGGCATGTGTGTCCGTCCGTCTGTCCATTATAATTTGTTAACACGGACCAACCATCACCAAATTTTGCATGCAGGACGGGTTGTGGTATTGATCCGTTAATATTTAAGGAATCAAAAGGACCAGAAACTACATATTTGTCTGTTTTTCTTTCTAGTTTTTCTAGCCGATCTAGAGGCCACAATTATAACCCGAACATCACAAAATTTTACACAGAGAAACGGGTCTGACTATAGAATAAGCAACAGTTGTATTCTATGAGATACACATTTACTCCTGAAGGAGATATAATGTTCGATGATGAACAGATATGGCCCGGGGATAAAAAGGACCGAAAACTTTATTTGTATCCAAATCGCTCTAGATGCCAAAATGAAAATCCGAACACCACAAATTTTCTATAATCAAATGACTGAAATTAACCTTTTCTTTGTAAAATAACTAATTTGGATCTTATGGAGTGAATGTTTACTCCATGAAAATATGATTCGGAAAAGATCGTATAGTTCAGTGGTAGTTGTGTAGGTTATTATATGATTTAAAAATGGAGATATTTCTTATTTTTTTATAAAAAATCCACTGACTGTCAGTTCCCTTAGAAAATTGTTTTCTGTATAAAAAATCCTTTAGACTATATAAAAAAACCAGTAAGGAAAGTAGTAAAGCCGGCTGGGCCGATTATACCCTTCACCACTTTGGGTATATTCTACATATGTCTCCTAACAGACTCCGCCTTTTCGAAAAAAAACATTGACATGAAATTGAACTAACTTGAATATAAGATCTTTATGCCTTTCTGTAAGCTATGCTAAATTTCGTTTCATTGAACCGATTTTCACGGACGAAATATATATGAGAGCGATATCTAAATCTGGAACAATTTTCACGTCACGATTCTCACATCATTCTACGCTACGCTAAATTTTGTACAAATCGTAAGATATATGGGGACTTTTACATAAAATACGACTAAAATATATATTGGATCTATATCTAAATCTGAATCGATTTTCACGAAACTTTCCACATTTCATTCTAGACTCAATTTCGTGCAAATCGAAAGATATATAGGGACTTTGGTGTAGCATTTACATAAAATCGGATGAAAATATATATGGGAGCTATATCTAAATCTGAACCGATTTTCACGAAACTTTGCACACATCATTCTAGACTCAATGCAGTACACTATGCCAAATTTCGTGCAAATCGAATGATATATAGGGACTTTGGTGCACCATTTACATAAAATCGGACGAAAATATATATGGGAGCTATATCTAAATCTAAACCTATTTTCACGAAACTTTGCACACATCATTCCAGACTCAATTAACTACGATGTGCCAAATATCGTGGAAATCAAAAGATATATAGGGACTTTGGTGCACGGGAGCTATGTAGTGCATGGAGATATATGGTGTATGGGAGCTATATCTAAATCTGAATCGATTTTTTTTCTACACTCAATTATGTGCACTGTGCCAAATTTCGTGAAAATCGAATAGGGACTTTTGTTCACCATTTACATAAAATCGGACGAAAAAATATATGGGATCTATATCTAAATCTAAACCGATTTTCACGAAACTTTGCACACATCATTCTAAACTCAATTCAGTACGCTATGCCAAATTTCGTGCAAATCGAATGATATTTAGGGACATTGGTGCCCCATTTACATAAAATCGGACAAAAATATATATTGGAGCTATATCTAAATCAGGACCGATTTTCATGAAACTTTGCACACATTATTCTAAGCTTAATTCAGTACGTTATGCCAAATTTCGTGCAAATCGAATGATATATAGGGTCATTTGTGCACCATTTACATTAAATCTGAGCAAAATATATAGGGGAGTTATATCTAAATCTGGACCGATTTTCACGAAACTTTGCACACATCATTCTAGACTCAATTCAGTTCCCTATGCCAAATTTCGTGCAAATCGAAGAATATATAAGGTGTTGGTGCACCTATTACATAAAATCGGACGAAAATATATATTGAAGCTATATCTAAATCTGAACGAATTTTAGCGAAACTTTGCACACAATTCAATTCGCTATGCCAAATTTCGTGCAAATCGAAGAATATATACGGTTTTGGTACACCTATTACATAAAACCGTACGAAAATATATATTGATGCTATATCTAAATCTGAACCGATTTTACCGGAACTCACCACTCATCATTCTAGACTCAATTCAGTACGCTATGCCAAATTTCGTGCAAATCGAATGATATATAGGGACTTTGGTGCCCCATTTACATAAAATCGGACGAAAATATATATGGGAGCTATATCTAAATCTTAACCGATTTTCACCAAACTTTGCACATATCATTCTAGACTCAATTCAGTTCGTTATGCCAAATTTCGTGCAAATCGAGTGATATATAGGGTCATTAGTGCACCATTTACATTAAATCGGAGGAAAATATATACGGGAGCTATATCAAAATTTGGACCGATTTTCACGAAACTTTGCACATATCATTCTATGCTCAGTACGCTATGCCAAATTTCGTGTAAATCGAAGAATTTATAAGGTTTTGGTGCACCTATTAAATAATATCGGACGAAAATATATATGGGAGCTATATCTAAATCTGAACCGATTTACGCGAAACTCACCATGATATATAGGGACATTGGTGCACCATTTACGTAAAATCGGACGAAAATATATATTGAAGCTATATGTAAATCTGAACCGATTTCCCCCAATTTCAATAGGGTTTGTCCTTGGGCCAAAGGTTTAGATTTTTTAAAGAGTATTTATTTATTTATTTTTTTTGTAGCATAGTGTAACCTGCCAAAAATCTATCTATTACGACTCAACATTCCGAAAATATGTTTTAAAACGGGTTATGTCAAATCATTGAATTAAACAGCTGATTTTATATCAATAGCGGTATTATCATTTTAATCAATGTATTCGCAAAAAGTGATGCCAATTTGGTGTTTTTAAGCAATCTACTCAGGACCATTTTCACCAATTCATTATTACTTCCATTGAAAGGCTTGCAGTCTACTCCACTGTGTCTCGAATCCAAAGAAAGACCTCGGAGTAATCTTATTTATTGAAAAAGTCCGGAGTAGCTTGATAACACTTTTTAACATAAAAATACTTCAGAAAATACTTCAATTGAAGATTTTTTTCGTAATTGGAATAATCCGTAAGGATCTTTAAAATATTTGTATTCTCAGATCATTCTCAAATACATATAATTTTTCTTACTAATTCCATTACTTTTCCATCTCTCTATAATTATTTTCCAGCTGCCTATTGTCCCGACTTGTTGAATGCCTGTTCGCTGATACTATTGCAGCAGCAGCAACAGCAGACAAGTGATTCCACAGTGGGAAGCTTTACCGATTCACCAGACGAACGAAACAATCACCATCACAACAACAACAACGACGACGATGTTGAAGATTCCTCAAGCGATTATGTGGAAATACCGTATCAACGACAGCAACAAAATCAAAATATTGCAGAAATATCGAATAGACTGAATGGCATTACAGGAGAACAACAACAAGAACAAACATCATCAAATCAAAAATCAGAAGAAGCAAACCAAAGATTACAACAACAGGAAATGGGTCAAAATTTAAGTATACGAAGGCCAAGAATATCACTTACCTGGGTATTAAGAGAACAGCAACAACAACAACAGCAGCAACAGACACCAAATCAAAAGGATTCATCGCCCACAAAACACAACGACAATGACAAAAAGGAGAGCAAGGATAGCCAGCGCATAACGAACAACAATCAGGTTAACGGCAAGGGTTTGGCCAACTTGGAGGTGAATCAAAATCACACCACTGTGGTGGAAAAGAAACGTTATCGTCTGAAAAAGTCGGCGAACACCGCCACCACCAATGGCTGCGAAAATGTGGAACCCCTCAATGGCTATGCCACCACTCCGACCAGTTACACAAATGCCTCCACCGCCCTGGCATCTCAGAAATTCTTTAGCAATCAAAACCTCCTGGAATATCATCGAGATGAGAGCTGCACCAAACCACCATCCAAAGATTTGTTGTTCGTGTGTACGCCACAACGCCTGCCCGAGGGATTTTCGGCATCCACCGAAGCCTTGGCCTTGGTTAAGAAACGTAACGAGATACGCAAGAAATTGGCAGCAAAAATGGCCCAGTTTCGTGCCGAGACCCAGGCAGCGAATCTGGTAAATGGTGGTCTGGTGCCGTTGAAGAAGGAGGCGAAGGCCTCACTCAAGTCAGGATCCTATTCTGAACCTAGTCTGGTGGCAGCGTCCGAGGGTAATCCTCGACGACATCGCCACCGCAAACGTAAGGAACGAAATCGTCCGCCCAAATTCGGTTATGACATTAAAAATGTCGACGAGTTTCTGACGAAGTGTTCGCTGGCCTCGCCCGCCAATATACCAATGGTATTGTCTACCTCATGTATTCTCTATCAAACCCGGCCGGGGGGCTATCAAACGGAAGTCTCCCTGCCTCTGGGAATGGTGATAAATGCTGTGTTCAAAAATCAAAATTGGCTCTATGTACAGACGCCCCATGCCGAAGAGGGTTATGTTAACTACAACACCTGTCTGCCGCTGGGCATTTTACCGGCCGAGGCTAGGCTAAAGGAGGGCACCAAAGCGGAGGCGAACCAAAAACCCAAAGCATGTTGGGAAACCATTGGTGATGTTTTCCCAAAGCCATGTGGCAATATGACAGATTCGGAAAAGGAAATTCATCTAAGAGTGGGTGGGACACGCAGCCGTAGTGAGGGTGCCAGGACGCCACATCTGAAAAGTCAATTGACCGACAATGCCGATACGGTGACAATGATATCTGTGAATACCGACAATACGGATTGTTTAAATGGCAATACCTCATCGATCTATGGAGAACAGCAGGTGGATAAACTCTATTTGAGGGCCGCTTCACAACCAAAATTATCCGAGAAGACTTCTTATGCCCAGCTGAAAATTATAAGGAATCATTCCTCGGCAGCATCGGCCACATCATCGAACCACTATCATCAACTCAATGATGAATATGTTACTCTGCAGCAGCAGCAGCAACAACAACACAAATCCCTGCAAAAACAACATGTCCATCATTTACCGGCCCAGAAGACGTATATTACGCGAACGTTCATCACCAATGGTCACAATGGCCAGCATTTACATCCCAAAGATATGAAACCACAGCTACAGCAACAACAACAGACAGCGGCATTGATATTGGCAAATAATTGCAATAACCTCAAAAATGCAACAACGACAACAATATTACCACAACAACAACAGCCACCACAACTTAACAATACTGCCGCCACCATAACTGTCACATCGTATAGTCCCAATCAACTGCAGCTACAACCGCCGTTGGTAATAACCACAACTAAGCAGCAGCAACAACAACTGCAACTACAACAACAGCAGACACCACAAGCAGCAACAACAACACCAACTCCAACCTCATTACATCACATCAACAATCAATCAAACGGTGTAATGGCCACCGCCACCACAGTTGCTCCCCGTTCCATCCTGAATGCGATACGCCGTTCCTCGGCCCATTGCGGCCAGCGTCAGACACTGGTTGCCATCACAACAGACTACTCAACCGGTGACGGCGGCCTGCAATTGCAAAAAGGTGATATTGTCACGCTGTGTGAGTGTCGTGAGACCAAAGATCATCGTCAATGGTTCTATGTGCGGACACGTGACGGTCGCCAGGGTTATATACCGGCTGAGGTGGCCGGTCATGGTTTTTTTGTAGACACGTTTCTTTGGGGGAAAAATAAATTATGAAGAAGGTCAGACAATTTTGTAATGGAAATAATAAAAACCCTTTGGAGGAAGGTGGAAAGAGAGCGGGGAGAGTGGAAAGATAGAAGAGTTTAATGGGAGCTCTACAGAAATACCCTGTATAAAGCCTTATGTGTATAGAGGGTTCTATACAAGATCTGCAGGAATTTTCTAAGTACAGTCAGCCTAGAGAAGGTATTCCAGCAATAGAAGACCACTGGTAGGTTGTCTAGCTATGGAAGGGCTCTAGAAGTTCTTCTAGGTAAAGGGTTAAAAAGCCTCTTATAGGTCTTGTATACAAAGAAGAACTCTAGAAGGTCTACCTGCTATAGGAAATCTCTAGAAGATGTAGAAGATCTTTAGAAAGACTTACAGTCATCTCAAAGGTCTTCTTGGATCCTGACACATTTTTACTATAGAAAAAAGTCTCCTCAAGACGGATTTTTCTATAGAAAAGACTCCTCAAGATTTTATACTATAAAAAAGTCTCCTCAGGGCTTTACGGTTTTTTATAGAAATAGCCTTCATAGGTCCTGATGGTTCTTTTTTGTATAAAAAAAGTCTCCTCAGGGTCCTGACGAATATTTTGCATTGGAAAATATGTATCCTCAGGGTCCAAACGGATTTTTTCTTTAGAAAAAAGTATCCGCAGAATTTTTTATAGAAAAAAGTCTCCTTTTTCTATAGAAAAAGTCTCCTCAGGGTCCTGACGGATTTTTTCTATAGAAAAAGTCTCCCCAGGGTCCTGACAGATTTTTTCTATAGAAAAAGTCTCCTCAGCGTCCTGACGGGTTTTTTTCTATAGAAAAAGTCTCCTCAGCGTCCTGACGGGTTTTTTTCTATAGAAAAAGTCTCCTCAGGGTCCTGACGGATTTTTTCTATAGAAAGAGTCCTCAGGGTCCTGACGGATTTTTTTCTATAGAAAAAGGTACTTCTCAGGGTCCTTATGAGATTTTTTTCTATAGCAAAAGTCTCCTCAGGGTTCTGACGGATTTTTTCTATGGAAAAAGTCTCCTCAGGAACCTTATGAGATTTTTTCTATAGACAAGTCTTCTCAGAGTCCTGAAGGATTTTTTTTTATAGAAACAAATTTATATCTCCTTAGTGACCTGATGAGAAATTTGTCTACACAAAAAAATCTCCTCAGGGACCTGATGAGAAATTTTTCTGTAGAAAAAAGTCTCCTCAGGGACCTGATGAGAAATTTTTCTATAGAAAAAAAATCTCCTCAGGGACCTGATAAAAATAAACAACTTATTTTTTTAGAAAAAAAAAATCTATGGGACCTTGAAGTAAATTTTGTCTATATACAAAAATTCTGAAAGTCTGAGAAGTTCTTCTCAAAGAAATTTCCTACACTGCCAAAAAATAAATTTTACAAAAAAAAGTCGTGGACCGAAAAAATCAGTTCGACATGAAACGACCAAATTACTACTTATATTTCCTTCTTTGAGGAAAACATACACACGAAAAACAAAAAAACTTGTAATGTAATTTTTTACAAATTTTATAAAAATTTCAAAAAATTACAAAGTCGCTATGTAAAATGTAAAACAAAGTATTATCTCTTAAAAAAGTTAGAAATTTGAAACATTTTTCATATAAGCTCGAATTTACTAATTGAAATGTACAATTTTTTGAGAAAACAAAAAACATAATTCAACACAATTAGAAAATATAAATATTTAAAAATACTACGAATTTCACATTAAACATTTGTTAAGAATATTTCTAATTATTATTATTATTATTATTATTTTTATAATATATATTTTGCCTAGCAAACGATCGAGTCGCTTAGTTTGTAGTTATGGTTAAAATTGTAATTAAAATAAATATTAAAAAAACGAACACACCTATTTTATAAGTTAATATTTAAAATCAATTTGTAATTATTATTTATGTTGAAATATAAACACTGGAAATAAAAATAAACAACATTAAATTAAATAAGAAATAAAATAATTAATTAATTGTTACCTCATATCATCAACAAAAAAATTTCAAACATTTTGGGGAACTCATTACAAAATTGTAAACAATATAATTCTTGCAAATACACACATACACACAAACAAAATAAGTCATTATTATAAATAAAATTTACAAACATAAAAAATAAACAAAAAATCAAATAATGTTTTATTTTTTAGATTTACAGGTAAGTGACATTAGGTGTGATTTAAAAAAAAATGTTCTTTATGCACATCGTAATATTTATTTCAAACTAAAATCAAATTGTTCGGTCGAATTCTTCTGGTACCTCCCACACAATGTAATATTCTTAACTTTATAAAATCCACCACTTATGTGTCAAGCCGATTTGTGTGGGCTATAGCACAAGCTATCCAAATCGACTTTACGGCTTTGTTAATTATTAAAAAAAGCCAATATTTTTAATATCGTCGAACTTTCACATAATTCCAATTTTCTCTTATTTAACATACATTTATATATGTTTTGTTCATATATAATAAAACATTACATTTCTCTCTAAACATTTTTATAACATTTATTATAATCGGTTAAGTAGTCGCTGAGATATTTGCATTTGAATTTAACCATGTTCCGAATTATACTTACTGTTCGGTGCTGGGCGCCTATTACCTGAAAATGAAAAATCACACAAAAATCGGCCTTGTAAAAATCGAAAGAAATTGTGTTTCTTTTTCTTCATAACAGCTACTGTATATGGATGTGTGTAATACTACATTAAACGTGTGCCTAAAAGTATGCTATAATTTTGTATACAAACCAGCAAGCAGCCCATTGTGGAAAGGAAAAATTGCCATTTCAAAAGAATCAATTTTTGTGTGATTTTACATTTTCAGGTAATAGGCGACCAGCAGCGAACAGCAAGTACATTTCGGAACATGATTGAATTCAAATGCAAATAACTCAGCGAATACTAAACCGATTTTTAATTTTTTTGCAAAAATGCTTAGAGGAAATTCCAAAGTTTTATTCCATATTGAAAATAAAAATATAAACTCATGCTGTGTAAGAGAAAATTGACATTATGTGAAAGTTCAAAGATATTTAAAATATTAAACATTTTTTATTAAATTTGAACAAAGTAGACACGATTTTTGCTTGATTTACACGAAATTTCCCATAGCACATTGAATTGAGTCTAGAATGATGTATTCTGTTCTTGAACGGCCATACCCTCAGTCTTTTGTGGTTTATGAGGGTATTTATTTACACTTTTGGTCAAAATGTGTCTCATTGAAAAATGTTTTTAGACCGCATGTTTCTTTGGACCAAATCCGTTTCAGGCAATTTGGAATTGATTTACGAATGTATGCTTGTCGATGTGTCTTTCTGGTTGTCTGGTGCGCCCGATAATTTTCGAAGAAAGTAACCGATTACTTTCAAATTTTGCACATCGTAATATTTCTTCCAAACTTAAAACAAGTTCGAAAATGGGGAATATCGGACCACTACTTCTGGTACCTTCCACACAAAATGGTCAAAACTGTGCTGACAATTAATTTTATAATATCATGCGAACGTACTACTACTATTTTGAAAACCTCTACATCTATTGTCTTTTTCAAGCCTAGATCCAGAGCGGAGATGGTACCTTCCCCACAAATGGTCAAAAATTTCAATATTTTTAAATTCGATATTAGGCGAATGGAATTTCCGACTTGAACCAAAGTTTGCAAATCCTATTATCTTTACCAAGCCTAGATCATATTCAAACTCCTTCTGGTACCTCCCCCACAAATGGTCAAAAATGTCAATATTTTTAAATTCAATCTCTGGCGAATGGAATGTCCGATTTCAACCAAACTCTGCACAACCAAATATATTTACCAAACCTAGATCTAGTCCGAAAATGAGACCCATTGGTCCAAATTTTAAATGTTAAAAAATTTAAATATTTTTAAGTTCAATATTTGACCCATAGAATAGAATGTCCGATTTGAACCAAATTTTGCACAATCTATTATATTTACCAAGCCAAGATTAAGTCCGAAGATGGGACCAATTGGTCCACTTCTTCTGTTACCTCCCTAACAAATGGTCAAAATTTTCAATATTTATAAATCCAATATTGGCGAATGGAATGTCCGTTTTGAACCAAACTTTGCACAACCTATTATCTTTACCAAACCTAGATCCAGACCGAAGATGGGACCCATTGTTCCATCCCTTCTGATACCTCCCCCAAAAATTATGAAAATTTTATAAATCCAATATCTATCGAATGGAATGTCCGATTTGAATCAAACTTTGCACAACCAATTATCTTTACCAAACCTAGATCCAGACCGAAGATGGGACCCATTGGTCCACTGCTTGTGGTACCTCCCCCACAAATGTTCAAAATTTTTTATTTTTTAAATTCAATATTAATCGCGAATGGAATGTCCGATTTGAACCAAAGTTTGCACAATCTATCATATTAACCAAGTCCGAATATGGTATCCATTGGTCAACCAATGGGGGGTAACTCCCCCATTAGTTGGGGGGAGGTATCACCCCCACAAAGGGTAAATAATTGAATATTTATAAAGCCAATATTCGGCGAATGGAATGTTCGATTTAAACCAAACCCCCCCACACACACATCGTTGTTTTTTACCCATTCTAAATCATATTTGAAGATGGCGCCCATCGGCCTTTTCCTTCTGGTATCTCCCCCACGAGGATCACAATTTTGAAAAATTGTTAATCCAATAAAGATCGTATGAAATATCCGATTTTATACAAAATACGCACATCGTAATATCTATTCTAAACATAAATTATGTACAAATATGGAGAATATCGGTCCAGCCCTTCAAATACATCTCACCCAAAATACTCCAAATTTTGCTAAAAATTAATTTTGAAATGTGATGCGAACGGACTCTACGATTTGAACTAAACTTTGCACAGCCTAATATTTAAACCTTTACTGTGTAATGTTTAAAGGTGGGAATTATCCGCCCAGTCCTTCTAGTACCTCCCACACTAAGGGTCAAAATTTTGAAAACCTTTACATCTCATATGAAACGAACGGAATATCCAATTTCATCGAAACTTTGCACAACGTAATATTTTTACCTTACATAGATCAAATTCAAAATTTGGACCCCTCGGCTATCTGCTTCTGGTACATAGGGGCGACATTTTACAAACCCAAATTAAAGCAGGCTCCACATTGGGTGTGGAATTAGAGATGTAATTTGATGATAATATTTAAATATTATTGACATAAGTAACCTTTAATTGCAAATATTTAAATGTTAAATGAGCTATGTGTTTACACTATCGTAAATAAAATACATAAGTTGAATTAAAATAGAGTTGACCGTTTCAAAACTTATTTTATCCCCATAAAATTCTGAAAGTCGTTTAAATTGTATTTATTTTATTTATGGAATATATTTATTTGTATATTATTATTGTTTTGTTTTCTATTACATAATTGTTTAACAATTTAATTTTAAATATTAATATGTATATATTTATTTATTTCGTATAGATATATAATTTTGTAATGATTTGATCTTATATAAATAGTGTAAAATATTTTTGTATTGTTTAACCTTAATATTTTTATTTGTAATAATAATTGCTTTTGTTTTTCAGAAAAAATATGTTTAATTTTTTGTTCGCAGTGATCGATTTGAAATCCAACATTATGTTTTTTCAAAAAACTTTTTGGCCAATTGTTTATGAATTTTAATGATTTGTTTTTAATATGGGTTAATGGTTTGTAGTGATGTATTTTATTTTTTAAATTTTTATTTATATAAATTTTCATTTTTTTTATATATATATTTTTAAATTTTATTTATATATATTTTAAATTTGATTTATATATTCATTGCAAATTTTATTAACGTATTGTTTTTTCTCCAATTTTAAAAAATTAACCAAATTCTTATATCTCCAAATTTTATTAATTTTATTATTTTTTTAAATTCATTAATATCGCATATTTATTTTCTCACTCAAACTTAGTCTAGTTTAATATTCGATGAAATATTTTCTATATGAAGATCTTTTTTATCGCACATCTTTTCTTATAGAATGAAAAAAAAAAATGTTGCAACCCGATACCTTTCCAATAGGTTGTCAGGGCAAATTGAAATGTAGACTACAGCTAACATTTATTTCCAAAATGTCTTGACTTACACATGCTTTCATTCTATTATTTTAAAGATATGTTTAATACAAAAATATTTTTTTTTTTATTTTTAAAATGCTTATTTTATAAATATGGGAAGAGAGGATAAAGGTATTTATGTTTTTCCATTGACTTGTATGTAGGTACTGTTATTTTAATTTTTAATTACATATTTTATCTCAATAAATAATTGACAGACAATGCTATAACTCAAATAATGATGGACTCTGATGTGTTTCCGCCTGTCTTGAGGGCAGACATGAAATCACTATAAAACCCTAAAACACAGGTAATAAGCAAAGACGTTATTTTAAAGAAACTCAATGTCGTGGATTTTTAAATAAAATATTTTTTCCTAGAACTTCTATGACGTGTATATTAAAAATATTTTTTATTTTTAAAATTGCTTATTTTATAAATATGGGAAGAGAGGATAAAGGTATTTATTTTTTCCATTGACTTTTAGGTAGGTACTGTTATTTTAATTTTTAATTGCATTTTTTATTTCAATAAATAATTGAAAAAAAAACACAAAAATGCTATAACTCAAAATTAATGAGCATCGACGATAATTATAGCGTGTTTACCTGAATCATCATGTCTTGAGGGCAGTCATGAAATCACTATAAAAACATAAAACACAAGTAGTAAGCAAAGACGTTATTTTAAAGAAATTCCTCTTGGATATACAGTCAACTTCTCGGGTCTATGTCCTTCAGGGGTAAATATATATGCTATAGAATACAAATTTTGGCCCGATCCCTTCCTCCATGTAAAAATTCGTGATGTTTGGGTCATAATTGCGACCTCTGGAGCGTCTAGAAAATCAGACAAAAATTAAGTATTTAGTCCATATTTCAGCCCCTAAAAATTAACCGACCTTTACCAAAAACAATAGCGGTCTTCATTGGCCAGAACCCATCCTACGTGAAAAATTTTGTGAAGATTGGACGGACGGACACACATGACTCAGCTAGTCGAGATATGACTATCGGTATACTTAAGGTGGGTCAAGGACCAAAATGTGGCTCCACAAAGACATAATACCCTGACAACATAGTTGTGTAGGGTATAAAAACTATAAAAATCATTTGGACTATAAAATATCACCAAAGCTTTTTATTTAATTTTGAAGATTTATATTTTCGGCCTTTGTTAAGTCATTAGATTGACTTGGGGAGTTCAAATGAAAACGGATTTTTTATCTATTATAAATCCCATTGAAGTCCTATAATGACACAAAATCATTTCTCCATTTGTACTGCCCAAGTCCATCTAATGACTTAACAAAGGCCGAAAAAGATGTCTATGGAAGGTCATCATATCGCTCATCTGCTGCAAGACAGGCATAACTCAAAAAACGTAATTTTCGAGTTAATGATGCATGATTTTTCGCTATACAATAGACCTTATGTTGTGTACAAGTCATATGAATATATCTTACACACTCTGATTGAGACACTGTAGAATTTCCTATGTAACGTCTGTTAAATTGAAAATTTAAAAAGCATTTTCTGCAAAATGTTTTTTTTTTTTAGTTATGCCTATCTTGCAGCAAATGAGCGATATCTTCTAACTTCTTCTTTAAATTTTTATTCATCCATAGAAGGTAGACCTCACCTTTTAAATGGTTTTGTGTCTATAACAATCTCTTACATTTCTCATTTTCAATTTTTCATAACGTTTGTTAAAGGATAATTTAAATTTTAAACAACAGTTTTCTTTTGTATGTATGTTCACAAATCACATTTTGAGTTATAGCAAATTCATGGTAATATTTTTTATTTCAAAATATACATTTAATTTTTTATAAAACAAAAGTAAAGGATTTACAAATAATAATAAAAAAAATCTACAAGTAAAATAGTTTGAGAAAAGAATTTACATACAAAAATAAAGCCAAAAATATTAATAAAGAATGAGCAAATGGGCGAAACAAATTATATGTGAGCAAATTAATTCTGTAGAAGAAAAAAATATCTTACAAAAAAAATGCATATACATAACTATAATATAATGATGCGGTATATAATCGATGATCGATACTATAAAAATACTTAAATATAATTCTGAGATATTATCATGTTCTTTTTTTTTAGTTTATGAAATTTAAAAAAAAAAAAATTAAATAAATTACAAAATATAGTATTATACACAAAATATATTTAATATAGTAAAGAAAGTGACAGTGCATTTCAGTTTGAAAATAAAACTAAATAAATTCACAAAGAAATATATTTGGAAAAAAATCGCACTCTAATACAAGATATGCAGCATAAGAGAGAGAGAGAGGGAAAATAGTAAGAAAAAAACACCTAAAAACTAAAGTTTTTTAGTATTCGCTTTGCTAAAAACAAAAGTTTCTCAAACAGGCTCCTAAAATATAAAATGCCTAAAGGGGGTATACATTGAAAAATATATATATTGTCCTTTTTCTTCGACTCCTTATAAAAATTAAAATGAAATGTATGTTTGATTTTTTGTATACCCATTTGTTAATGGTTGCTTGAGCAAACTCTATACACATTCACTTAAACAGACTTATATCTTCGCAATATATTCATAATAATAATGATAATATGTTGTAGTATGTATTCTATGATATCGAAGAATTTACTTATTTTATATGTTCGGAGCTGGTTGATGGTGTTGCCGTCGATGCATTATCATTATCATCGGCTATACTGGCGCTACACACAGCATTGTTATCCTCATTTTCTGTGTCATCACCTTCGGGCGCCACACCGGGTGGTAGACATTTCTTTAGGAGCACTTCCATGGTTTTTAAATTGCTCGGCTTTTCCTCATCACGATTTATGTTCAACATGGTATCGTTCATGCGATGATAATGGGGTTTTTGTGATGTGCTAGGTCTCGAATAATCCAAATGGTCGTATTCATCTGCGAAAGGGGAGAAAAATAAAGATAAATTCGACTGTTATGTAAAAAAATTTAAAACGATTGGAACACAATGAGATGGTTGTGTATATCTGGTAATAGTGCTACAACAAAACAAACATATAATACGAAATTTTACAATATAACCATATTAAAAAAAATCCCCATGAGAAGTTGGAAAAAGTATTTCAGGCTATAAAAAAAATGGGGGAAGGTCGGAATGTGCGAGAAAAGATCATCAAACTCAAAATATCATTCAAACGTTAAATCGAAGAATTAGATAGGTGCCTAAGAGAAGTTTTTTTTGTGTTGGAAAGCCATAAGGCTGCCGAGAAGAGATATTCTACCATTGACAATTGTTTGCTATCTAAAGAAGACTACTGGAAGACCTTATATCGCGTTAAAACACTTCCTAAATTGACTTGACTTTTAAAAATGAAATAATATTCTTATCTGGGATTTAAACATCATTGGGATTTTAACACCATGCGTGAATTTGTTTTTTTTAAATCTTTTCCCAACCATAAATTTTTAAAGAATGTCCGCCAAAATTACTGTAATTTTCCATTTCGGAGTTTTGTTTTAACATCGCCTAATTTTCTATATTTTGATGGCATTAGTCGTTTTTTCTACATGATGTAATTTGCGATTGCTGATTCTTGGAGGGCGAAAAACATTTTTGTAAAAAATTATTCAATATGGGTCCATACTTGGACTTATAACGGTTCCGCCTCATTTTTGGTTGTTGTTGTAGCAGCCCTATTGATTTTACACAACGGGCTGAGGTGACAGGCGTTGGCCGAGTAAGACTCGGGTCGTTTCGGATTGTAGACCCCTCTGTCGTGGAAACGACCTCATTTTTGGTAATTTCATTTATCTGCATTTTCCAACCAAAGTTGTTCTAATTTGGCATTCTTGAATGGTTAAAAATATGTTTGCCGAAATTTTCGATATAGATCCATGTTTGGCACAAAGTTTTAGCAGAATTTCCCTACAAAATCTGGCTGTAATTTGACATTCCGGGTTAACGTAGTGTGAAAATTTCCTAAATCTTTCCTAAATATATTCGATTTAAGTCCATACTTTGACATAAAGAATGACCCGCAAATTGTCGGTATATCGAAGATTTTAGCCTAAAGGACTTGTTTTCAATATGGGCTCATGTTTACAAGACTCCCATGCAAAGTCGCCGCTTAATTTTCGGTATATAGAAATGTCTAGTCCTGTTTTCCAACCGACATGTTTGCAATTTGGTTTTTCCTTTTTCCCAAATATCTAGTATACAAAATACAAATATATAATCTACATATAAAGGACTCAAAATTTCTAAGAAATGCAGGTTCTGACAGAACTTAAACGCGTTTCAAATTATTTTTTACTGCTTAGTCAAGGCTTGAGTTTATTTTTTTTAATTAGGCGCATATATTTTAGTAATTACTTTACATAGTTGAATTATTTTTTATTTTAAAAAGTATTTTTAAATCAATTTATATAGATGTGGATTTAATATATATATATATATAAGTTTTACTATTTCAATTGATTTTTTTAATGATTTTAAAACGCGCGGTTTTTTTTTAATATTTCTTCAATTATTTGCAAGACTTTGATTTTTTTAATATTTGTTCAATGATTTTACCAGACGTTGATTTTTATTTTAATATTTCATTCAATATTTCCATTTTGACCAACAATTTATAATTATAAGCAAATAAATTAGGTATAAATACAATAATAATAAAAAACTCAACTCAATTGAACTTTTAGCTATTTCATGGAAGCTATAAAAATTAAAATTCAGTAATAAAAATAAAACACAGCAACGACACAAAACAACTACAAATTATTCCAATCACGAAACAAATAGTTTTTTTGTTTTTAGACTAACCAAAACTATATCACATTATGAATGTACACAACAACAACACAGAAAATGCAATGAAATATAATAAAATACGCACATGAGGAAGAAGCATATAAAAAAAGATGAGGAGGAGGAGGTGTACTTGTAGTTTGATTGAAACTTAAAATTGTATTCATCATCTTCTTGTTCTTACCCTCAGGAAATAGAGTTTTGTTATATTTCTTAACTGCGTTCATGAATTATTACAGAGAATTTGCAGACATAAAGACAGATAAATAAAATGAAGAAAAGCGTAATGAATGACATTTTAAAATGTACAAACATCATTTGTATTTAATAAAAAGTATTTACTTACCCGGATCCTTGTATCCCTCTTTTTGTTTAATTTCATCATAGACATGTTCCTCCTTTAAACCCTCCAATGAATTGTAAACTGTGGGATTGGTCAAATCGGCATTGAAATTCTTCGCAAACATATCATGATTGTAATTAATCGAATAAGTACCAGCTAGGAGTGTTCAAAAACAAAAACAGAACCAGAAATAATTAGAATTTGAGTTCAAATTGAATATTATTTTGTTTGAATTTCTTACCTCTACTACTGGTATTGGAATCATCGGCATACATATCACCACCACAATTGAGATTATTAATTTTCGGTCTAAGATTATTCAGTAGCCGTGTCTCCGAATTATTGGCCTGCATTCCATAGACGGGATTGTCGAAATTATGACGATCTGGCCAACCTTGTGTGGGATCACTGATATATTGAACGTGAGCAATCTCGGTTTTCAAATTTGACACTCTTCGACGATAATAGAAAATGACAGCAATTATGATGGCAACAAACAATATTGCCAGTGATAAACCCCATGCTAGACCGGCACGACCTGCTAAAAAAAAAGAAAATATTTTTGTAAACAAATAATAATAATAAATCGTGGACTTTTTAAAGTATTAATTTTGAAAATCTATCCAGAAGCTTAGTATTTATAACCTACACAACTATGTTTGTACTAGCTGAGTCGATCTAGAGGCCGCAATTATGGCCCAAACATCGGGAATTTTTACATGGAGAAGGTGATCGGGCCAAAAAATAAGCATGCCTGTTTTCATACAGATCGGTCAATATTTTGCGGGTCAAATGGACCCAGACTTTTGTGTGACAAATGACAAATTTTGTATTCTATGGCGAATATATTTACACCTGAAGGCCATAGACCCGACAAGTTAATATTATATCGAAGAAGCGTGGCTGACCTTTAACTTGATACAAATTAAATGGTTGTATGTACTCGGATGTGGGAATTATACGTAAATATTTGAAGGTGTATATGTGCTATGATATTGTTTAGTACTACTATTACCCCACTAGAGGGTCCGCTCTCCGCGCAAATCAACTACAACATGTTTACTTTATGGGTTAAATATTCACCTCGGGAAAACAAAATTTGGAAAATATGTCAGGGTTAGAACGTGGAGCTGTATACTATACTGAATATTAGTAATATTCGGATAATAAGTCAGTGTAAGGAAGATGTGAAGTTGACCTCTAATCGGGCAAAAGGGTACAACTATCTCAATATATTACCCAGACTCGGAATAAAAATACGCAGAAAGTGTTCCGTGGTAGTTGTGTAGAGCATCGTATGGTCGGCCCCGTCCGGCTATACTTCTCCGCTCACTGGTTTTTTTAATTTTAAAATTGAACGCTAAACAAAAAAGAAATAAGCTGACTGAAGGGTATTTTAACGGGACACCTCAGCCTGAAGGCACATCTACTCAAGATTGGATGCGAAAATAGCACATTGTGCAAAGCGTGTAGGGAAGACAGTGAAGCGCTGGAACATTTCCTATGTCATTGCCCAGCATTTACATGCCTTCTTGGGAAATGACACTCATCACGAACTAACCGATCTAAGGGGGTGTGAATGGTGAAGACTGAAGGAGTTCTCAAAAAAAAAAAAACATGGAATTCCTATATTCATAGCGGAATCAAACCCAAATGTTTTTTAATCTAAACTTTCACTAATTCTAACTTTCTCCGCATTTATAGAACGAACAATAGGCCTCAATTGGCATATGTGCATGTCCTTCTGATGTTGGGCATGTGGTGGTATTATCCACCCATATTTTCAACCTAACCTAACCTAGTTTTAAAATTTATTTTTTTAAGATCTGTCATAAATTAGTTTAAATTAATTTTTATAGGTTAAATTTATTTAAATGTTATTTTAAAATATATTTTTATAATTTTCCCGGGTTAACAAAAAGTGCTACTTACTATCACGTTCAGCTTCCTGAATATGTTGTTCAGCTTTGGTTAAATCACAATTGGGTCCGGTAAATCCTTTGCGGCATACACAGCCATCAGTGGCTTGGCATACGAAATTGGGTGAAGCACATTGGCACGAACGCATGCAGTGCTCACCATAGAAACCCTCGGGGCAGACTGAAACAAAACAAGAAAATAAATTTTAAGATCATTTAAAAATAACTCTACTCATCCACTCACCTTCATCACAACGTGTTCCCATCCAACCGGGTTTGCACAGACACAGTCCATCATTTTTCCGGCAACCATTATCATTTTGGCAATGACATTCCTGTGAACAATTTTGACCATAATAACCATCCGGACAGGTCATATTACAACTCTGTCCCGTCCAACCGGGCATACATTGACATACACCCGTTATGTGATTACATTCTCCACCATGATAACAATTACATTTTTTCGTACATCCAGGACCATAATAACCCGTCGGACAGGGGTGTTCACATGTCAGGCCAATATAACCATCACGACAACGTATTTCACCAGTTATATGATCGCAGCTTTTATTGCCATGCACAATAGTTGGACATTTCTCCTTGCAGCCATTGCCATAGAAACCCTCTTCGCAGGGCTGCGAACAATCTTCACCGGTCCAGCCGGCCGAACATATACAACGTCCCGAATCGGGATCACACGAAGAGTTATTTTTACATCTGCAAACTTGATCACAATTTTCACCATAATAACCTGGTTTACAATTTGTCTCACAATGAACGCCTTCAATGGTTTTTTATAGTTGATTTTAAACGTAATATAAAGGAGCAAACATAACCCAACACACACAGCAGGCAAAACGCAAAAGCAAAAATAAATGAAGGAAAGAAAAATATAAAATAAATTAAATTAAGAAAATAAAAGGAAATGAATTTGGTTTATAAGAACTAACTATTCTAATTACAAGTTTTGGAAGTATTTGTGGGCAATATTTTGTAAAAACATAAGGATTTTAATATATGGTCAAAATGGAGTTTTTCATCCCATTTGGAGGTTAACAATCTGATCGTGCAAAGTCAATATTTTTCAAAGACTAACACAGTCGGTGATTTTTTTTTTAAGTTTACCACAAACGTGGATTATTTAGAATTATTTTTTCAATATCTACAACAAATATGTTGTCGGTGTATTTTAGCTTTGTGTGGCCCAGAGTGTTTGTAACTGCGCGAAATATTGGTCCTAGACCCAGGTTAAACAAATTCGGAAATATGTCAGAGTAAGAAAGAGCAGCTGTTGGCCTCTAAACGGTCAATAATGGGCAAATATCGCGAAATATCGCCATGTCTCGGAATATAGATCCGCCGAAAGTTGAATTTCATGGTAGTTGTGTAGGGATATGGTCGGCCCCCGTGCGACTATACTGCTCCGCTCACTGGATTAAAATTATTTGTCCAAATTCTGCCACATAATTCGATTTAAAAAATGTTTTTCAGGATCTACCACATGCCTGCTTTTTTTGAATATTTTTAAAGAGCAACAAATACGTTGATTTTGTAAGAGTACTTTTTTTTGGGAACCAAGACAGGCGTTGATCATCACAAACGTTAATTTTCTTAAAAATATTTTTTCCCATTTTTATCAGAATCACTTCCAATTATTGTTTATTATTTTTTCCAAAACTTGTTAATCTATAAACTACCAGATCATGCTATTAATAATTCATAACTCATGCAAAAATGTAAAAAAAAACTATTAGTGTTTTTTTTTTTGTGTTGCTGAACAATGAATATGATAATGTATGTATGTGTTCTGAGGGGGTATATCAATGGGGGAAACAGGTTAAAGTCTCTAAATAACCTTGGAGTTGTTTAAGAAGGGGGAAATATGAATGTGTATGTGTTGCCGAGTAAATAATCCATCACCGTTGGTTTGTAGTTGAAAATGTATTGTGAAATTCTTATACTAATGATTTATACAAATATAACTAGTAGATAGTTTTAGAAAATTGTAGATTTTTGTTCTATACCTCCCCATCCCTGTTTGCATATACATTTGCCATCGGAACTTTCACAGGCAATTGTATTGTTGAAGTCACATTCACACTGCTGGGCACAGTCCTGGCCGAAAGTGCCAAAATCACATTTCTGCTCACACTTGGCACCCTTGAAGCCAGCCGGACAGGTACATTTACCATCGGTGGGATTGCAGGCGGCATTATTTTTACACTCACACACACTAATGCAATCCTGGCCATAATGATTCGAATCACAGGGACGATCACATTTGAGATTTTTCCATCCGGGGGTACAGAAACACTGGCCCGTTTCGGGGGCACATTTTGCACCATTTTGACAGTCACATTTAAGGGCACAATCCTGGCCGTAGTAACCTTCGTCGCAGACCTCTTCGCAGGTTTCACCCTTATAGCCGGGAGCACAAATGCAGGTGCCATTCATGGGATTACATTTGGCATTATTTTTACAATTGCAATTTAGTTCACAATTTGGTCCATACTTGAGGAAGGGACATGGTCTATTACACAAAGTGCCACTCCAGCCAACTTGGCAAAGACATTTCCCCGTTTCCGGATGACACAGCTCGGTATATTGCATTTCACATTCACATGATTTGGTACAATTGATGCCATATTCATTGTCCGGGCATATGCGGGTACCACAATCATCACCCGTCCAACCGGGACGACATTGACACATACCAGTTGCCTTATCACAGGTGGCATCATTTAGACATTGACATTCTTCCGTACAATTGAGTCCATAAGTATTCGAGGGGCATTCATCGAAACAACGATCACCCATATAGCCAGGAGGACATTCACATTTGCCGGTAATGTGATGACACGGAGCACCCTTAAAACATTCACAGGGTTGTTCACAATTTGGTCCATAGCTGCCGGTGGGGCATTTATTGGCACAGACATCTCCTGTCCAGCCGGGTGGGCACATACATTCACCATTTTGAGGATCACATTTACCGTCGTTTTGGCAACGACAATCCTGTTTACACTGGGCACCATGTTTACCATCCGGACACTGATCTTCACATCTTTTGTTTTTTTTTTTCGAAATTAAATTTATAAAATTAGTAACCAATCCTTTTTTGTTTTGCTTTCAACTCTTTTTTTTCAAACTTACAATGGTCCGGTAAAACCTGGAGCACATATACATTCACCCGAAACATGATGACATGAACCACCGTTTTCACAACGACACTCCTCTAAACATTCAGCACCATAATAACCCAGGGGACAGGTATCTTGACATTTTTCGCCCGTGTAACCCTTGTCACACTGGCAGGCACCGGTATATGGTTCACATGTGGCATTATTAAAGCAATCACATTGTTTTTTACAGTCACGACCCCAATAGCCAGTTGGGCAATCTAGTCGAAGATAATTCAGATGCGAAGGAACGCGAAAGGGGGAAGAAATATTAGAAGATATAGGATATGGTAAATAGAATAAAAAACACCATTGTGCACAATATTTCATAGTTCTCAGAGAAAGAAAACTATTGCTTTTGCCTGGTTAATTGCATATTTTGGAATTGGGGAAGTCCATATTAGACACATACGAGTATTTCGGAACAGGACACCTATTTGTAGATAAGTTTTGATTTTGTGGTCGTAGTGTATGTGAATGTGTGGAAGTGTCTTAGTTTAATAAATTTCTATGGAATTATTGTAAATTGGTGCAATACTTTTGTGGACAAGGTGGTATTGCATTTTTTCTTTAGGAAACAGATTTGGGTGTGGGGTAAAGTGGATGGGTAGGTGTGGGATGTTTTGTGTATAATAAGTATAAAAAAGCTAAAGAAACTAAACTCCAATGTTATTTGTTATTAAAAGCAAAGCTAAAGCAACGACATTAAAAAATAGGTTTTAATATTTCGAAATGACAAAAAATTCTATAAAATAAAACAGAACAAATTGTGCTTTCGTTACAAATCGTAGATAACACTGTGCAACATAAATAATCGAGTGCAAAAGACAGAATAATATTGTGATTAAAAAATAAAAATTTTAATATTAGCACTTTTTAACCTAATTTTATTTTTTTATCATATCTATGTAACTTGTATCAATCACTCCTGAAGGACATAGATCCTATAAGTTGTTAGTATATTGAAGAGGACTTCTTGACGTTTAAATTGAGACCAATTTTATGGATGTATGTACTCGGAATTGGGAGTATTGCTTAAACACTTTAAATTGTCTACATATTCTGATATTGTTTAGTTTAACCATTACCACGCTTGACGTTCCGGTTATTGTCAAGGACGTACAGATTGTCGATGATCATCAGATGGTATTGTGGGGATTAAATGGGTTGAAAACGTTATCTTTGTTTTGTTTTCAGTCGCTCTAGACACCAAATATTTGTTATAATTATTTTTTCGAAGACTACCAGAAACGATCATTTCAAAAATATGTTTTTCCAGGGGGCATGGATGGTTTCCGGGCGCATAAAAGGAATTTGAAATATTTATTGCACAGTGTCATAGATAAATGTCTTTAAACAAAAACTAAGTTGTTTGGAACATAGAGGAGGACATTAGCAGGAGGACATTCCTCTCTCACCTATTTCAAAGAAAAAAAATTGCTTTTTTTTATACAAAATATCACTCCAAACTACTTCAACGATTTGAAACGAAAGCTACAATTATTGTTCTTCAATATATAGAGAAAAAGTAACACAAACAACAACACTGAAGGCTTTCATAGTGTGCTACAAGAAGAAAATATAACAAAAGGAAGATATAAAAAATAAAGCATAATAATACGAACTTATATCACAGGCCGGTCCACCATAACCATGTTCACATTTGCATTTATTGGGCGCCACACAAACACCATGAACACATTTCTCATCACATTTGGGTATGCAGGTGTCATCCACGGGGTTACGCATATATCCCTCTAAAAAACAGACATACACAATTATTTAACAAAAATGAATATAAAACAATTAGGCCCATTTGATCATATATAAATAAATCGAATTACTCACCACAACAATCGATATCAAATCGTTCTTTCATCAATGTCGTGGTTTTATTTACCACTCGCGTTTGTAGTTTGTATGATGAGCATCGTGGCGGTACATTGAAACACCAATTATTCGTTCGTACTTGATAATTTTGTAATTCTGTGGTTATTACTGTCACGGGATATCTAAAGGATATAAAAATAAATTAAAATTATTAGAAACCAAAAAAATATAAAGAGACTGTGGTTACAAATTTTTTTACATTGATATGCTAAAAATAATATATGCAACCCTGTGGTTTATCTTAATAACATCACAGTATAAAATATAAAGAAAATAAATTAGTTGTTTAAAAACGATGTGTGTACTTTTTATAACTTCCCCCATTAGGTCGACATTAAAAATATCTAAAAAATGGGGGATCGTAGAAAAAAAACTAATTTTGTCATAAGACCTTGAACATAACGAAAACATATTCTGATATATATATATATATATATATATATATATTCTTGATTAGAATCTAATTATATATCGATTTAGCCATGTCTGACTGTCTGTTGAAATCACAATAGAGTTCGCATTATTTAAGATATAGCTTTGAAATTTGGTTCTTACATAGCTATTACTCCTAAAATTGCTGGTATTGCAAAGTGGGATATATCGGTCCACGTTTTATTATTGATTGATTGATATTGATTGATTTTATTATTTTTGATACCTTTTTAAACCGAAGTGAGTAAATTTTTTGTATTTTGTGTTCTCATCATTGGCGTAAACCTTCCAACAAATCCTGGGGTATCCCTCATATAACGGTACACCACAAATGTCGGTGTTTTGGGGTGTTTTGTCACCAAAATGGTGGTAATTTTATATTTTGGATTTCCTACCATTCGGTATTTTGAGCACGTTTTTCAAACGACACGAATCTAATTTGAGTTTCTAGGTTCAATTTTCAGTATTTTAAGGATTTCAGAAAATATTTTCAACAGAATTGGCTCTAATTTGCAAGTTTTGGATTTCTTTGGGTGGTAAAGATTCTACCAAAAGTTATCAATATCGGTTTATAAGCATATATTTAGTATAATCTCTATATAGGTTAAATGGTTAAAATTCGGCATTTTCGGACCTTGGTGAGCAATATATTTATTCACAGAACATGTTCCCGCATCAAGTATCCAACCCGAGTGTCTGTCGTTTGGTATTTCGTTATCTCCCGACCACAATTTAACATTTACCACAAATGTCCCGATTATACAAACTTGTAGATATTTCTTAAAGAATAAGTGAATTTTTAAGTCTGGGTTTATACATGCAACTTTTGTAAGCAACTCTGCTGAGCTCTTTGAAGCGAGACGTATAAAAAGTGACAAGGGGGAAGAAATTCAAAAGAGAATCGTAGAGAGCAGCAACAGAGTTGCTTAAAAAGTTGCATGTATAAACCCAGACTAAAGACTATCATGGTTTTGTAGTCAGCAATACTTACGTTACTTTTGTTTTGCAAACATTTAAATCTTTTCGATTTTCCTGATCGAATAGTAATTCTGTTCGAGCATAGGCCAAAACGATGAGGCAGCTACTGTAGAACAGTAAAATGCGTGTGTGTGTCATAATTATGCGGCAGTCCTCTGTACTGTGTACAGATAGTGAAAATCGAAGCAAAATTTTAAAAATATTCAAAGCAAAATAATAATAAACAAATCTGAAAAGAAAGAAAAAAAATTAAATCGAATTTGAAACAAACAAAATTGACAAACTTACTTTCAATATTTCTTGGAGCTATTTAAAATAAATATACATTTTTTCAAACCGCCTTAACGGTTACGGTTTCCAGCACCTTAAATTAGTTTCCTTACAAAAAAACTGAACACTGTTTTTTTTTTTTGCTTTCTCCCAGCTGTTCTATTTTTTTACAAATTGACGAATGCTGTTAATGATGATTCAGTATGTTTTTGTTCGTCGTCATCTACTTCATCTCTCGCCTGACCGTAAGTGTATTGTTTGGCTGTGCTGTGCTATAGTTGTTATTTTCAATTCCACAGAGATGACTTGAGCTCGTTGTAGTATAATGGGATTTTAACTCCCAGGCTTTGTTTGTTTACGCTGGAATGTTGATTATTATGTTGTTGTGGTTGTTATTTTTTATTATATGATGATTATAGTTGTTGTTGTTCTATAGTACATTTATCCGCTTAAATTTATCACAAGCCAACATAAAGCATTCAACTACTGTTGCTACTCTATCTATTCAGATTCTGCTTAGCAGTTCTGCTATTCTATCTCACCACATGAGAATAAGCCAATCATAATCCCAGCAATATAAAACTCTGTGCTATTTTCATTTTTTTCCAAAGATATCACAAACAGATGTACAAAGACAAAACTGCAAAGAGAAAGAAAGAAAATAAATGTAAGCGATTAAATTCAATTACATTAGTTAATAAAATATATATTATATTTTATACTTGTTTGTATGTAAATATGTAAGGTAATTTAGTTATTGATGTAGCCCTATTAGACTAAATATATGTATATCTATATGTATAGGAGTATTTTTAAGAATATCTTGTCATAAAGACTTTCTAAAACCAGTAAGGACAGTAGTAAAGTCGGAAGGGGCCGACTATATGATACCTCCACCACTCTAGGTATATTCAACAGATGAATCCTAACAGACGTCGCATTTTTAAAGGACCAGAAAAAAGAAATTGGATCCATAAAAATGTTATTCTGCAACCGATACTACATTTTTCATTTGGTCAGATATATAAGCTACATCTATATCTGAACCAATTTCAGGAAACTTAACACACATCATTCTAGACCTAATTCATTACGTGCAAATCGACGAAAATATATAGCTCCCATATATCTAAATCTGAACCGATTTTCAGGAAACTTAACACACATCATTCCAGACCTAATTCATTACGCTGTGCCAAATTTCGTGCAAATCGAGATATATATAGAGACTTTGGTGCACCATTTACAGTTAATAGGACGAAAATATATATGGGAGCTATATCTAAATCTGAACCGATTTTAAGGAAACTTAACACACATCATTTTAGACCTAATTCATTACGCTGTGCCAAATTTCGTGCAAATCGAGAGATATATAGAGATTTTGGTGCACCATTTGCATTAAATCGGACGAAAATATATATGGAAGCTATATCAAAATCTGAACCGATTTTCAGGAAACTTAACACACATCATTCTAGACCTAATTGATATATGATATATATAGGGACTTTACAATAAATCGGAAGAAAATATATATGGGAGCTATATAAAACCCGATTTTCCAAATTTCAATAGGGTTCGTCCTTGGGCCATATAAGAGACCTAGACCAAATTTCATCCAAATCGGATCATAAATGCGACCTGTACTTTGTTCACAAAAATACATGGACGGACGGACAGACGGGCATACGTAAATCGACGCAGAAAGTGATTCTATGCATGTGTGTGAAAATAAAATAATTAAATTCGTATTTAGAACACATAAATTGTTAATAAATTGATGTATGTTTAAGAAAAAATGATAAAAAAATATTATTTTTATAAATTTTAATTGGAGTATTCAACTAGCTACAATCACAGAAAAATGTAAAGGTGATGCAGTAAGTGTGGAAAGAAATAAAGAATCTGGAAGTAAAAAGTCGAGGTCCACTGTGCGAAAACGGGTGAGAGTGAGTCACCTTTCCATATACCGTTGGAAAGGACATTAAAAGGACTTTCCGAAAATGTATTGGGTATAGCCCTAAATATATTAGAAATATCCATATACGGTCCTTTTAGTAAAATTTATAAGAAACATATATAGAAAAAAGTCCGGGCCCACTGTGCGAAAACGGGTGAGAGTGAGTCACCTTTCCAGAAAATGTATTGGGTATAGCCCTAAATATATTAGAAATATCCATATACGGTCCTTTTAGTAAAATTTATACGGGCCCACTGTGCGAAAACGGGTGAGAGTGAGTCACCTTTCCATATACCGTTGGAAAGGACATTAAAAGGACTTTCAGAAAATGTATTGGGTATAGCCCTAAATATATTAGAAATATCCATATACGGTCCTTTTAGTAAAATTTATACGAAAAAAATGCATAGTCAAATGTTGGGGCCCACTGTGCGAAAACGGGTGAGAGTGAGTCACCTTTCCATATACCGTTGGAAAGGACATTAAAAGGACTTTCAGAAAATGTATTGGGTATAGCCCTAAATATATTAGAAATATCCATATACGGTCCTTTTAGTAAAATTTATACGAAAAAAATGCATAGTCAAATGTTGGGGCCCACTGTGCGAAAACGGGTGAGAGTGAGTCACCTTTCCATATACCGTTGGAAAGGACATTAAAAGGACTTTCAGAAAATGTATTGGGTATAGCCCTAAATATATTAGAAATATCCATATACGGTCCTTTTAGTAAAATTTATACGAAAAAAATGCATAGTCAAATGTTGGGGCCCACTGTGCGAAAACGGGTGAGAGTGAGTCACCTTTCCATATACCGTTGGAAAGGACATTAAAAGGACTTTCAGAAAATGTATTGGGTATAGCCCTAAATATATTAGAAATATCCATATACGGTCCTTTTAGTAAAATTTATACGAAAAAAATGCATAGTCAAATGTTGGGGCCCACTGTGCGAAAACGGGTGAGAGTGAGTCACCTTTCCATATACCGTTGGAAAGGACATTAAAAGGACTTTCAGAAAATGTATTGGGTATAGCCCTAAATATATTAGAAATATCCATATACGGTCCTTTTAGTAAAATTTATACGAAAAAAATGCATAGTCAAATGTTGGGGCCCACTGTGCGAAAACGGGTGAGAGTGAGTCACCTTTCCATATACCGTTGGAAAGGACATTAAAAGGACTTTCAGAAAATGTATTGGGTATAGCCCTAAATATATTAGAAATATCCATATACGGTCCTTTTAGTAAAATTTATACGAAAAAAATGCATAGTCAAATGTTGGGGCCCACTGTGCGAAAACGGGTGAGAGTAAGTCACCTTTCCATATACCGTTGGAAAGGACATTAAAAGGACTTTCAGAAAATGTATTGGGTATAGCCCTAAATATATTAGAAATATCCATATACGGTCCTTTTAGTAAAATTTATAAGAAAAAATTGCATAGTCAAATGTTGGGGCCCACTGTGCGAAAACGGGTGAGAGTGAGTCACCTTTCCATATACCGTTGGAAAGGACATTAAAAGGACTTTCAGAAAATGTATTGGGTATAGCCCTAAATATATTAGAAATATACATATGGCTTTACTCAATAATTTTCTGAAAGTCCTTTTAATGTCCTTTCCAACGGTATATGGAAAGGTGACTAACTCTCACCCGTTTTCGCACAGTGGGCCCCAACATTTGACTATGCATTTTTTTCGTATAAATTTTACTAAAAGGACCGTATATGGATATTTCTAATATATTTAGGGCTATACCCAATACATTTTCTGAAAGTCCTTTTAATGTCCTTTCCAACGGTATATAGAAAGGAAAGTGGGCCCCAACATTTGACTATGCATTTTTTTCGTATAAATTTTACTAAAAGGACCGTATATGGATATTTCTAATATATTTAGGGCTATACCCAATACATTTTCTAAAAGTCCTTTTAATGTCCTTTCCAACGGTATATGGAAAGGTGACTCACTCTCACCCGTTTTCGCACAGTGGGCCCCAACATTTGACTATGCATTTTTTTCGTATAAATTTTACTAAAAGGACCGCATATGGATATTTCTAATATATATAGGGCTATACCCAATACATTTTCGGAAAGTCCTTTTAATGTCCTTTCCAACGATATATGGAAATGTGACTCTTTCTCACCCGTTTTCGCACAGTGGACCTCGACTTTTTACTTCCAGATTCTTTATTTCTTTCCACACTTACTGCATCACCTTTACATTTTTCTGTGATTGTAGCTAGTTGAATACTCCAATTAAAATTTATAAAAATAATATTTTTTTATCATTTTTTCTTAAACATACATCAATTTATTAACATTTATGTGTTCTAAATACGAATTTAATTATGTTATACTGTGTACCAAAACTGTTATACTGGCCGCAACACCAAAGGTGGTGTGCGTCTTCGCTAAAAAAAATTCGAATTTATTTTCACACACATATTCTATGCATATTCTCAAAAGGAACCATGGGTCCATCTCGATTATTTTTGCCTGTTACAAACATATGCACAACGACATAATACCCTGTACCACAGTGTGGTGAAGGGTAAAAATACATCCATGAGCCTGACTTTTAAGCTCGTCATAAGCCAGGCTCTAAGCTCGTTTATAAGCCTGACTCTTAAGCTCGTCCATAAAGACTCCCCTCCGTTCGTCTATAAAGACTCCCCTCCGTTCGTCTATAAAGACTCCCTTCAGTTCGCCTATAAAGACTCCCTTCCGTTCGTCTATAAAGACTCATTTCAGCTCGCCTACAAAGACTGCATTCCATTCGTCTATAAAGAATATATTCAACTCATCTAGACATCGTACAACTCGTCTTTAAATTCTCCTTCAGCTGGTCTATAAATACCTTCTTTAGTTGATCTAAAAAGACTCCCTTCAGTTCCTCTATAAAGACTCCCCTCCGTTCGTTTATAAAGACTCGCTTCAGCTCGTCTACAAAAAAAAACTTCCTCACTGCAGCTCGTCTATAAATACTCCCTTCGTTGGGAATATTAAGACTATCTTCAGTTCGTCTATAGACTCCCTTCAACTAGTCAATAAAGACTTCTTTCAGTCCATCTATAATGACTCCTTCTTCTTAGCTCTCCTCCAACTCTTCTATAAAGACTTCCTTCTGCTATATCTTGACATTTCGTGAAGGCATTCAGTATTCAGTTAAAAGTAATCAAACAATACATATAAATATTTTTTTGTCTTATTTATTTCGATTATCAAATTACCTTCTAAAACTAAAAATAAAAATTATAAATGAACACCTAGAAAAATAGAAGTACGATCAAGTAAAGGGAACATAAAATACAATTATTAGTTGTTTGAAAAACCTAGTGGATAATAAAATACAATTTTTATATGAGTACTCTACAAAATATAAATGCACACAAAAAGTCTTTTTAAGAACAAAACGCTTTCAAATTCTTTGATTTCTTCCACACATCAATTACAACAGTTAGTTACTATTTTTATTCACTTTCAAAGCAGCAAATTCATTGCTTAGGATTTTCATAACATCAGCATGTTTCGTATCATCTCGTTTGTATTTCTTGTAATTGTCCTTGACAAATTTAGCAAATCCCGTTGGCTCCTTAACCGGTGTGGGGATGATATTGCCTTCTTTGTCTTTTTTATTGAGAAATATCTCAATGGCACCATGGCAATAGGAACAGCGTATATTTTCAACTTTTTTCGATTTCGAATGGGCATGTGATCTGAAAGTAACATACAGGTTTAGAAAACAAAATTATTAAAATGTATTGAATGAGATGTAATTTACACATACTTTGCTCCACACAAGGTACATTTATAGGTATATTTATATTCAATGTCATACTGATGACATACTCCAATTTTAGGAATTTCAGGAAAAGTGGCATTGGCCCGCTGAGCCCATTCCTTCCAGGTACGGCCATGACCTCCTTCACCATTAAAAATCCATGTGGCTGCGTGACACAATTCATGTATGAGGGTACAACGCAGACGATCGGCACTGGTCAGAACTTTTTCACTTAATTCTATAACACTGGATCGTACACCAAGCCTAGAAAATAATATAGATCATTTAGCCTATTCAAAAGGGACTATTAGGCTTAATTATATTGGGGTGGTACTCAATGAAATTGCGCTTTTCAATAGAAATTTCGCTGTGCATTGAAACAATATTTTTTAACAAATCTACACTACTCTGGGTCTTGAAAAAAATTCCTAATCTTGAAATCAGCTCTTATAAAGTATCTTTAGCAATCATGCTTTGCTAAGCATAATTTCTAGCTGTAAATAGCAACCTTTAGTGTAATACCACCCCATACATATTTTTTATTGCAATACCCGCTTCTTACTTTTTCTTATTCAAACATCGTCCAGCAGTGTTTGAGAGTTTCTTATTCCAGGTTAGTGGTACATCCAGTCTATTGCCAAATAATTTTTTATTATATAACTCATAAAGAATATTGGCAAGATCTTCCTTTTTGGTGCGATAGCTTTCACGATAAATGAGAGCATCAGGATGGCAAAATGCTTTGCTGACCGTGACTAGGATGGACAAAAAGTAAGATGAATTAATGAAATGTTAAACTACAAGTTCTGTTCCTCAACCTACCATCCAACGATTTCAAAAAACTATATTTATAATTTGGCGTACCACTAAGATCTTCCAATTTTTTAGGATCGCCTTTTCGTCCAACATTTGTTTTTGTCGAAGATTTAGTTTTCGAATTGGGTGTTTCATTCACCTTCTCCCTTAGGGGAGTTGTTGGCGCAGTCTTTTTCGGTGATGGTGTCAATTGGAATATTGGCTTGCCCACCTTAACCGATTCCAATTGTTTATTGTAAATATCCAATTTTTTAGGTCTACCTTGGGCATCAAATGGACAGGTGGCATTGTCCAATATTATACTTTCCGATTCATTGACCAAAATCCGTTTATTTTCCTTTTCGACAATCTCCGGCAAGGCAATATCATCACCCTCCAAATCATGACCAAACATGGGTGTAAATAGTTTACGTTTAGTTTTAGTCGATTGGGCGGATGAGGGTAATTTTGGTTTATCTTCGTGACGACAAGTTTTAAGAATATCGTTCAGACGGGAAGCAAAAGTGGCATCGTGATTTGCCGGTGGACTCTGGGGCACATCTTCCAAGATGGAAACTTCTTCTTTAGATAAGTCTAGATAAACTAAATCATCCTTCTGGCCCTTGGCTGTGTTTTTCTTCGTTTTAAGAACTTTGCTTTTATTATTTTTATTTCGTTGGTTTTTGGAATCAAAGTCACTATCCGAATTTGAAACGTCATCGGCATCATCGCTGCCATCAGATACAATTTCATATTTTTTTGCAGTGTTCTTATTTGCTGTAGTGGATTTTTTATTATTACCACCGACTGCATTTCTTGTCCTTGTGTCCTTCCGTTTAGGAACTTCAAAATCACTGTCATCATCCACAAAACTGTTTTGGGATTTCTCACCACCATCGTCACTTCTTTCATCCTTTGAAGAATTGTGTGGTTTACGTGAATTTTTCTTTGTTGTTGTCATCGTCGTCGTCTTCTTATTGTCCCTTTTATTAGTTGTAGTACATTTTGATTTATTTTTAGGTTTAACCGGCGATGGTTCAAAATCACTATCATCTTCTGACTCGGTAGCTTTCCACGACTCATCATCTGATTTGTCGGCATCATCATCATCAGATGCATTATTGCCTTCCGATTCCGAATCTGTATCATCGATAAGCTGCCGCCATCTTTCATTTTGTGATCGTATTTGATTTGCTGTTAATTTAGCCATTGCTGGCGTTCGTGGTGGCGGCTTTTTCATTTCGGTTTGTGGAGCTTTGAAAATCTGTTCCGGACGAGATTTCATTGTAGATTTGGTGCGATTTGTATTCCTTGGTTCGGTGTGACAATTGTTGTTGGATATTTTGGTTGCTTTCGTTTTTGGTGTGACCAATCGGGTTGAATCCAAATTTGTTTTGACAATATCTTTACGAACTACAACAAGGAAAAAATAATTGGAGTATTTAAAAAAATGACGTCTACAAATAAGGGGTTTACTTTACAAATAATAAATTTTAAAGGATCATAGTAGAAATCTCAGAGATCTTCTTTCATAGAAGACTTCTTAGAGGGTTTCTACATAGGAAACCTCTCCCGAACCTTCTATACATAGAATACCTCTCAGGGTATTTTGTATTTAGAAGACCTCTCAGATGCCTTCTATACACTAAAGACCTCTCAGAGGTCTTCTGTAAATAGAAGTTTTCTTGGGAATCTTCTATACATAGGAGACCGCTTGGGAATCTTTTATACATAGATCTCTTGGGGATCTTCTATACAAAGAAGACCTCTTGGGGGTTTTCTATACATAAAAGACCTTTTGAGGGTCTTCTATACCTCTTGGTGGTCTTCTAAACATAGAATTCCTCTTAGGGGTCTTCTATACATAGAAGACCTCTTGGGAGTCTTCTATATATAGAAGATCTCAAAGGGGTCTTCTATAAATAGAATACCTCTTGGGGTTCTTCTATACATAAAAGACGTTTTGGAGAATCTAAATAAAAAATCTCAAAAAAATATTAACTTACACATGCTAAAATCACACAGAGAACTGACATCCGTCACCTTCAAACTACTCATATCCTTGTCGATGTTACCATTCTGTAGCTTCTCCTTAGGTTTCCGTGGCGATGGAGATTTCTTGTTAATACTTGATTTTTTAAGGGTGTTATCAGGACTGCCCGATGTACGCTTTAGAGTTCGAATAACATCTGGCGTCTGCCATGAGTTACCATACAGTTGATTCAATAGCTTTTGGGCAGCATCAACAAATTGTTCATCTTCTTCGACCACCATGCAGGAGTCATCCAAATCGTTGGAACTAGAATCTTGGTGTAAAGACTTATTGGGAGAGTTCTGGTCCCAAGATTTGCCATTTTCGGCGGGTGTTTTTTTAGATTGCCGTACAATGGTATTATTTTTTGATTGCTCTGTCCGTTTTGATTGCGTCCGTTCATTTTGTGGACTATGGTCATCACTATCTGCAATCTCATTACTTTGTTGCTGTTCGGGTAAAGAATCTATAGTGCTACGACGATTATCAGAATAATCACCATCTTCACTGGGTTCCGTGGAATCGGTGACTTGGATTTTAATATTTATTTTGGCCGATATATTTATATTCGCCATGGACATTTGTATTTGAGACATTTGGCCATCATGACTGCTGTCATCGTCATCGCTCTCCCCATAGATTTCACTGTGTTCAGTATTACGCAAACTTGTTGAAAGTTTATTGTTGTCATTTGATTGAGGACTTGTCGAGCTTGTACGACTATTTTCAATTTCTTCTTCATCAGTTTCTAAAATAGTAATTGAATGATCAGGAGCACTTTTATCCGCTGCAGGAGATTCACTAATACAAGAATTGATGGAATTATCGCAGGACTTTTGTGGTGTTTTCATTTCGGGACTAGAAGCTATATAAATAGAATCATTCACTTCCTCGGTGTCTGCTTGAGCTATATTTTTATGTGTAATCTTATTTCTAGGTGTTGAGTTTGCATCGGAATGTGAGGTATTTGCCTGGGTTTCGTCTTCAGCCATATTTCTATAGTCTGGTGTTGGACTCGATTGAGTTGAAATTTCAGTATTAACCTCAGTTTCATTGTGAGCTAAACGCAAAGCCGCTTTATCTTTGTCACATGAAGTATCCGAACAATTCAATTGCGTATTACTTTCGGTTTCGTCTAAGGCATAATTTCTTTGTATGGTGGACTTTATGGGTGTCTTATAAATTGGTTCTGCGATTTCCTCTGTCATGATGGTATTTTCTTCAGTCTCAGCGGAGACTAATCTTCTAGCTTGTCTACTAGATTTGTCATTGTGATGAGGTGGTTTGGGAGTGTTACAGTCATTATCGTTATCTGATGTATTTTCATCAGGTGAGGAGTAGATATGGCTTGTGTTTTCTTGTGTTTCAGCATTTGCTATTATCTTGGCCTTATTTTGTGGTGTCTTATCCTCATATTTATACTGCTGTGAAGGACTAACTTGTAAATCGGTCATAATGGAATTATCTTGGGTTTCGTCATATGCCAATCTGTGAATATCCCTTTCATTCTCCTCATTTTGCAAAGAGTTGTTGTTGTTTTCTTCAGAACTATCCCCCGCAAAGGTTTTTATTCTTTCTTGCCTTTCTTTAAGGGACTTGGTTTGAATATCTTCTTCATATTCATCATCATATGGTGTCACTGACTCTGTATCTGCAGTAGCAATTCTTCGGGCCTTCACTTCCTTTTCCGATTCCCCAGAACTTGAACTTGTTTCTCTATAATCCAAATTATCTAGGGTAATATTACCACCATTCTCTTGTAGATTTCTTTGTTCAATGGAAACATCTTTTAAAAATGCCGCCATACGCTCCATTTTATCGGGACTTAAACCAGCTAAATTCCCTTTAATGGTATTTATGGTGGTCATGGCCATATTGCTGGGCTCTTCGGCCTTTGTTTCTCCACTAACTGAGCTATCGGATATGGTTATGACATCATCTTCTGTATCTTCTTCGTCCTCATCTTCCGTCATTTCATATTGTTTACTTGTCTCCCGGTGTTCGATAGTGGTTGTGGGTACCACACCAATCACTTCCTTTTTAAATACCTTTGTTATGGGCAATTCAATTATGTTGAGTCGAGGTTCAATTCCCATGCTAGATCTTTGACTTTCCGTGGAAACCAATTGTGTGACATCATCGGGAGTTTCTACAACACCTGAAGAACTGCAGCTGGATGATATCGATATGGGTCGAGAGAGTAAATCAATGGTTGATATTTTGTGAGACAACTCATCAACGGCCACATCCAAATGGGCTGGCAATTCAATGGATTCGGCATTGGAGTGCAAATCTTCTCCTTCCTCTTTGTCATCTTCTTCTTGATCTTCCGTAACATTTAATGGATCCATTGTTTCATATTGTTCCCTTAAATGGGTCATGTTATTCCTTTCATCACTTTGATCTTTGGAAGAATCAGTGAGCAGTAATGGATTTCGGCATTCCATTTCGGAGTCTTGACTTTGTTGTTGTTGGGATAATTGTTGTAATAAATTGCGGCTAGCACTGCGACGTTTATCATTTAATTTTTCACTTGGAACAGCAGCAGCTTCGTCGCAATTTGCATTATTATACTCCTCCTCCTCCAAATCTCGATTTTGTTTCTTTTTATTTGAGGATAATGTTAATTTTGAAAAACCTACAGAAAGCAGGAGCAAACAGGTTATTTTTTGTATTTGTTGGTGTAGAAAATCATACTTACGTTCATTGATGGGCACTTTAATCTTGGTGGGATCTATAGCTTGCAATAAACTATAAACCGGCTCTTCTTCCATGGTACTTTTTTACATATAATTTTCTATTTATTTTCTTGTGCTTTTTATTATATTTTCTTTTTATTTTATTAAGAACAACAAACACAAAACAAGGATACAAAAAGAAAATTCAAAATTCACAAAATCCATTTGGCGTCCATTTTAGGGATAAGAAAATCGATTAAATATCGATATATATTTAAAATCGATTAAAAGTCGATTATATATTTATGTTTAAAATCGATTAAATATCGATTTATATTTATATTTAAAAAATTTTAAATTTTATTAAACTTAATTCAATCAAAAATTAAAATTAATTTTAATTTTGCGAACGAAGATGTCGCCAAGAGAATGTTTTAATCACGCGCCTTTTTCACCGACCGAAGGAAAATTGAAAAACGTTCCAACTGCTAACGAATGGGGGGAGAAGATAAAATAGCCGATAAAGATGAACTCAAAGTGGTTAAACGAAAGTTTACGAGCGAGGTGGGATGGAGACTAAAAGGGAGCCTTGTTTACAACACATACACTCACAACAGCTGCAGTTAGAGAACCGAGCCATACTGAAATGTTTATGTGTGACGGCGTTGCTGACACAAAACGATCAACTTTTTCCCCCAATTTAAAAATTTGGGTTTGTAACGCATTTCAAATGACTAATTCGACGTCAAATTCAATTCAAAATGAATTACAAAGTAAGTATAGAGGAATGAATAGTGACGCCGTTAAAAATGGCAATTGGCGTCGATACGTACATGTTTAGCTGTGCTAAGGCAACACAGCCACTCTTTATCAAATGTGCTCAATGAACACAGCCCAGTTAATGGTTAATTACGAAAATTGCGAGGTGAACAATAAGTCGTTATTATTGATAAAAATGTTTAAAGTATTTGGTTTTTATAAAAATATTAGTAGAAATTAATAAATATGAATGATAACATTATATAAAAAACCTAGAGCTGTACTCAATGTGTACAAAATAAGAACGATGAAGAACAGTAGACTCGGACAAACTGTGGAACTTGAGAACTACCGCTTTGAGGTAGTCAACGATTTAGAACTCCAAAATAGAGTAATTGAAGGTATTGAACGATTTTATATACCTTGCTATTGCCATAAATAAAACTAATGACATCAGTTTTGAAATTCGGAGGAGAATAGTGTTGACCAACAGATGCTACCATGGTCAGAGTAAGCAACTCAAAAGCGAGGCCATCTTTATTCTCGGACATCGGTAGGTATCTCACATTTAAGGTGTCTCTATTCAACACATTCCATAGTCCCAATATTGCTCTCAGACAACAACACGATTTTAAGGTTTTTTTAATATTTTGTGTCCAATGAGAATTAAAAACTTAAATTATAGCTATATTAGTCAAAAAACGAGCCCAAACTCCCACAAGTACTGATAATTAAGTGGTACAAAAGTTAAAAGGGGACTCATATTGACCTTTTTGGGAGGAAGATTTGCTACCCAATGAGAAGCCAAAATGAAAAATTACTGTATTTTCGTTTTAAAAATGCTATTAAATACTTCAATATTTCAAAAATGGTATGGTATGTGAGCTATACCAAAATGTGGCCCATTAAAATTCCATTGGCAATGCCACTACTCCTAGAAGTAGTAGCAAAATTGTATAATATCTATTTTTAATATTTCAATCTCTATCGTGCTTTCAAGGCATTGAATTTTATTTGAATATTCACCGGTGTTGCAAACGGAAAGAAAAATTAAATATATTCTTCGTTGCTATAGTGTATGGTGCTCTATTCCAAATTTTTTGAAATATAAACGAGTTGTCAAAGATATAAATAAAAAAAATAACAATTTAATTTATTTTCTATACATATTTGTTTCAAATATATTTTTCTCTATAATGCCAGAATATAGCGAAGGACTAAACGCAATATCACTGTTATGTGATGTGCCAACACCAGCAACCCTAAACTCAAGTCGTTCTCGAATCAGTCTAAACAATAAAAGGTAAAACAAATATTGTGTACATAATTTTGAATCCCAAAACAAATGCTTACTTTTCTCTCCAAAAAAAAAAAAAAAAAAAATAGATCTCAAAATTCACTAAGGAGTTATAATGGCAATTATGAGGGCGATTGTAATATGTTCAATCCAGAAATCAAACAGCAACAACAACATAATAATACATTTCAAATTCAAAATCTAAATTTAATGAATGAAGAAAGTGAGAGTAGCGGAGACGAAACATTACTACAAGAACACCACTCCAAATATGGAGAATCTAAAAATCGCAAGAAATCCGCAACCAAATCAACTCTGAGTATTTTAAATGAAAACCAGCTATGGTATCTGCTGCGATGTTATATGTTAAGATATTTGCCACCGGAATTTGTAGAACATATAACAAAGTTTTGGATATCTGCTATAGAAAGTTGGCGATGTGGCTATTTAAGAAAAGTTATTTTATATATAGAAATACTTTTAAATTGCTGTTGGAAATTATCGCAATTAGTCTTTGCAAAAATTGGTTGTATTGCTGTATGGAATGTACGTTTTCGTAATGCAATACGACGAATTATGTGGTGGCTAATATTGGAGAAATCTCAAGGTCCTCTATTTATTGTAATGGTTTTAATTGCTTCACCAATAGTATTTCTTTTGGCCGGTATTGGTTTTATTTTGACTTTGATTACGACATTTAAGGATGCTATAGATAAATCAATATATTTTATACGTATCCATGTATTTTGAAATGCGAAACAAATTTATTTTACAGACAAATTAACTCTTATCCTTATTTTCAGAAAATATTTTCGAAATTTATTTATTTTTCGCAAATCAAATCGTTTATTTTTTATGGTATTTCCGTTTCTTCTGAAGCTCTCAAGTAAATTATAACAATGTGCATTTTTTTGTAGAAAAGAAAATAAATAGACTGCTTCATAAAAGCTTACAACTGTTGTAGTTGTTGTTCTTGTTTTGATTGGCCACTCAGCGCAGCCTGGAAATTGACCGGCCAGCCACAGTGTGTACACGCTGTACCAGCCAGCCAGCCAGTCATTCAGTCAGTCATACAATAAATTAATGTTTTCCATTATGAACTCAAGTACATATTCAGATTGTTGATTCTTCAATGGTGGCATACAGGAGGCAGTGGAATACCACCCGACAAATTGCCGCACAAATGCCAACTCACAGTTTTGATACAGCATCCGTAATAGGCTATTGGGAACAAACCTAAAAAATCAACGTTTTCGTTGGTACCTGAAAAAAAACATTTATAAACCAGTAAGGAAAGTAGTAAAGTCGGACTGGGCCGACTATATGATACCCTTCACCACTTCGGTATATTGTACATATGTATACCTATGTCAATGTTCCTTCTATAGAACATACTGATGTCTTCCTGCAACCTATGATAAATTTAATTTCATTCGGGAAGATTTAAAGTCGTCTGTGAAAAATATATTCGGACTTTGGTGAACCATTTACATTAAATCGGACGAAAATATATATGGGAGCTATATTTAAACCTGAACCGATTCTCACGAAACTTTGCACACATCATTTTAGACGTAATTCAGTACGCTGTGCCAAATTTCGTGCAAATCGAAAGATATTTAGGGACTTTGGGGGCACCATTTACCTAAAATCTGACGAAAATATACATGGGAGCTATATCTAAATCTGAATTCAGTACGCTGTGCCAAATTTCGTGCAAATCGAAACTTAGCACACATCATTCTTGACTTAATTAAGTGCGCTGCGCCAAATTTCGCGCATATAAAAATATATATAAGGACTTTGGTGCACCATTTACAAAAAATCGGACGACAATATATATGTGAGCTATATCTAAATCTGAACCGATTTTCACGAAACGTAACACACATCATTCGAGACTCAATTCAGTACGCTGTGCCAAAGTTCGTGCAAATCGAAAGATATTTAGGGACTTTGGGACACCATTTACCTTAAATCGGACGAAAATATATATGGGAGCTGTATCTACTTTTGAACCCATTTTCACGAAACTTAGCACACATCATTCTAGACTCAATTCAGTATGCTGTGCCAAATTTCGTGGAACATGAAATATATATAGGGACTTTGGTACACCATTTACCATATATCGGTCTAAAATATATATATGGGAGCTATATCTAAACCAGAACCGATTTTCACAAAACTTAGCACACACCATTCTAGAAGTAATTCAGTAAACTGTGCTAAATTTCGTGCAAATCGGAAAATATATAGGGACGTTTGTGCACCATTAAACTTAAAACGGACGAAAATATATATGGGAGCTATATCTAAATCTGAACCGATTTTCACAAAACTTGGCAGACATCACTCTAGGCTCAATTTAGTACGATATGCCAAATTTCATGGAAATCGAATGATATATAGGGACTTTGGTGCACCATTTACATAAAATCGGACGAAACTGTGTATGGGAGTTATATCTAAATCTGAACCAATTATTCATAACTTCAATAGGGTTCGTCCTTGGGCCAAATGAATGAGCTGTGCCAAATTTCATCCAATTTTAATAATAAATGCGACCTGTACTTTGTTCACAAAAATACATGGACGGACGGTCGGACAGACGGACATGCGAAAATCGAGTCAGAAAGTGATTCTATGCATATTCTCAAAAGGAACCACGGGTCTATCTCGATTCCTTTTGCTGTTACAAACATATGCACAAAGACATAATACCCTGTACCACAGTGTGGTGAAGGCTATACAAAATTGAAAAAAAAAAAATATTTTAAAAAATCCACGCTTATTTCGTTACTGTGCAAAATTTTTCTAAAAAATCCAAATTTGGATTGGTATTGCAAATTTTTTCAAAAAATCCACTCTTTATGAAAAAAATTAAGTAACCCATTTTTTTGTCCATAAAAAAATATTTATAAAAAAAAATAAAAATCATCCGAATCAATTCAACGACATGTGATCGTATATACCCGTCCGTCTATCTGCCTACGTTCTATGGACAACATAACTGAATATTTTACAGACGATGAGTGAG